CCCATCATGGGTTGCAGATTGGACCGCCCCGTTTCTAAATACCATGTTTGGTGACAGTAGTTCAGCGGGATATAACACAGGTGGAAATGCGGCCAGCCCATGGGACGCCGTATACGACTCAGCCACGCACACTCTCGAGCTCTCTGGCCACATCATCGACAGCATCACCTGGCTCGCCGAAGCCACCCCTCCAGCCATTTGGCACAGCACAGGGGTGGGAATGAAGGAGTTGATGGCGACGGAACTGGCCAGGATCGAACACATTCGTGCGCAATACCCAGAGAATAAGTATCCCGGAAGCGCGAGTGACTTCTATCCGGAGGTGCTGTCTCGCCTCCTCGTTGCCAACATGTTCCTTTCAGGCCAGAAAGCCCCGACGGAATGCGTTGACGACTTTTTTGCATTTATGAATTTTGCAACTTGGATCTGTCAAGCAACTGCCCAAGATTTGGATGCACCTGACCAGTTGCATGCACCTGAACAAGAATCATTTCTCGATGATATAGAGTACGTGGATGCAGCCCGCCGTTATAAGACTGGAATGAAGGTTGCCATATCGCGAAGGTTCTTCGGGACCGGGAAGCAGTACTCAGGCATAGGATTTCCTGGTATTGGAATTGGTGATCAGGTTTGCCTATTTCGAGGTTTCAATACGCCCTTCATCCTTCGCCGCGGAGACAGTGGCGCATACAAATTAGTAGGAGAGTGTTATATTTACGGCTTGATGAATAAGGAAGGGCTTGCTTTAGGCCCAGAGGAACGTATCACTTTGGTTTAAGATGTACATATCTGATGACAGATTGAGCACTCAAACGTGTAGTAAACTTCCCCATCACGTCTTATAGAGCATGTAGAGGCGCTATATCAAGAGAGCTTGCGTATATTTCCCACTCCATCAACTACTGGACAGGGTGAGGCGCATAATAGACCCGAACTACCCCTGTGACAGACTGTACCAGTCCAGAGAGGACAGTGCGAAAGACTGCGACTATGACACTCCTACAAGGAGCGAGCGACGCCGGCAATCTATATGGAAGACTTCCTCGCGCAGGCCTTCAGCATTCAATACCATGATGATAAACAAATCACCATAAACGGCTGGCGCCATCCTCTGGAAAACTTACCCGGGACGTCACATACCTGGTATGATCAATCTGGAGACATTGTGCATTATCTGATGGGCAATCCGCAGACAGTCATCAAAGGATGGTACTACAAGACTGGGAATCGCGTCAGCTCTGAGTGGAAGTCTCTCCAGTCTGTCCTGAACAAAAGATCTGGGAAACTCCAGCAAGTCAAGAAAAAGAAATATGCACTTCACGTCCTTCGAGGGTATTTTCTGGGTCCGTCCCAGCGTAGAGCGCCACCGTATGCGATCATTCTGTGTAATGACAAAGAAACCTCAGAGTCGCTATTGAAGATGATCCACGATACTAATCGCAACAAACACTGGGCGGTTGCACAGCTTGGTCACTTCCCGATTATTGTGTATGGATCGGGCTCTGAGTTCGATCCACCAACCGCCCATGACGTTGAGAAGAGGGAAACAGATACGATGTTGGATGACAACCAATACTTGGGGAGTCACCCTGCTGAACCCTCTCTCGTATGTGGCATGCGCCTGCTCATCCAGAGACGTTCGGGGTTTTGCAACGGAGCAACAGTGGGAGGCGTGATCTGCACTGGCAATAAGCTCTACGGCTTGACGGTCTGTCATGCCTGTCGCAGCTCCATCTCGGTGCACGGTTACGACCATGACCACAACCATGATCCTGCCGGAGGCTTTAGGGTTCAATTCTGGTATGAGACCCATAAGCTCAAGGTGATCGAAGCAAAGTTGGTTGTAGGAGATCCTGCCCGTGACTGGGCGTTGCTAGAAATCCCTGGTGTCGAGGCTTACGGCGCTACCAACGCCCCGAACTTTGTCCAGAGCATATATGGCGATTTTAGACCTACCAAGATTGCTTCAACCGAGCCGCAAAAAGGTACCATAGTGCTTCTCGCAACCTACGATGCCAGATATGGGCTCAGAGGCATATTCGCCGGGTCCGATGCCATGGTATATGAGCCGTTCTCCGGCCACCTGCTTTCGGCCTGGGTATTGCGGATGAACGAGCCATGGGCACTTGATGCCGTCACCTTTGAGCTCCTAGGGGTGGTAGTCTCAGGCTGTCCGGACCTTAGAGAAGTGTACATTCTCCCAATCACCGACGTGTTCCAAGGGATTCGCGATCATTTTGATGGTCCAGAATCCGGGTGGCAAGGCTCCGCTCCGAAGCCAAAGGCCATCTCAGTGGAGACGGTCCTTCAGTCAATGGAGGACGAACAAACCTGTGGTCTTGCGGAAAGGAGGCGTTTATCTCCGATTGTGAGACGCGGCTTGTGTGAAATCATATTTACCAAACTTCACTGGATGTTGGTTGCATACCATATGATCTGTGATGTGTTATCCTATCTCTCGGCCGTCAAGGAATAAGCCAATTCCCAATGGTTCTGGTAAGATTATATTTTCTGAATACTCCTCAGTATTTATCAGTCTCAACTCTAATTCCAAGAGTTTTGGGGGTTTGTTTAGAGGGTATGAAACTTCCGTAGCAGAACCAGAGGAGAACTGTCGTACCTCCTCCACTAGGACAATAAACAGGAGTTCCGCAAGACTATCGATATCTCCTTTGATAAGGAGTTACGGTCTTTATGGGAGGCGATGGACCTTGAATAACAAAGAGAATCCTTGAGGCCTCAATAAGTGTCATAATCCCGCCGTGTTCATCCTGGCGGAGACGGAGTGTAGTGAATATTGGAAATTTCAAGGAAATGAAAGCATGGACGTGCGCGAAATCCAAAGTGAACGTACTTAGATCTAGCCTACACGATCGAACCTTGATGCAGTAGTAGGCGTATCATGGGTAGCAGAAAGTGGTGTTGTAGTACCAGTAAGCTTCTCCATCATGACACCCGACTGCCATTCACGTCACGGCATTTGAGGCGAATGAGGTAACCCGTCTAAAATTAGAAATTAGAAGGGGCGCGCCCGCCACTAAGGCCCTTTCAGGTACCCATGTACCTGCGCTGCGGCAAGAACCTTTCCGGATTTGAGTGGGCCAGCAACGAGCGAGACCTGGAAAAGCTCGTGCTGAGCCTCTCATCTTTTCGCAATGTGGCGGATGGGTGGGGGAATCTCGACTGCTCTGCGAACCGTTAACGTTAATCAGATCCAGGACCGACACCGGCAGTTGTCTTCCCTGTCCATCACTAATAATAATGTTATCACCGAAGCAGATCAAACGACACCATCGAGGGAGGGTGTGAGGTGAGAGGGGAAAGAAGTAGGAGTAGTTACGTGGACCGGTACGTCGCCCGCGACTAGAGATGATCCACTTCCGGCAGACCAGACGAGCCAGGCTCCTTTTCACGAGAAACAGAAAAACATACGAGACTCGGCATTGACGATCGAGGGGTGAAGAGGCTGTTTGGAGGGGCTGGAGGAGCCAACCAGCGCACCACATGGCAAGGCGACGCGCAACCCAGGCTCGAGCCAGGCACTTGCAAGGGGCGTTGATCCCGATGTCCTGTCTCCAGAAGTCTTTCAAGTCTGGAGAGGGGTTGCGCAGCGACCAGCATCTGCCGTGCACCCAATGACTTCACCCGTGGGGATTGTTGCTTGAGTCGCAACCAGCAACCAGCCGCCTCAGGGCACACGTCTCCCTCGAGCACGTCTTAAGCTTGGTTTTTCTTATGAGGATACCTCGATCATATTCTGAAGGGAAGTTCACGATGGCGCATCTAACCTTACTATGTAGTCAAGCGATGCCGTTTTCCGACCGAGGCACATTGGTAAGCCGCAATTAAATTAAGAGTTGGATGTGTTATCGCTGGCGGTGTAAGCTTCAGTTGGAGGCTTTGCCTTATCTGGAAGATAGCTAGGACCGTTATTTATTAGGCAGCGCATTTACATGCGAGAGTTCATGGGTTCCTGGGCAGGGTCTGCGAAGGCCATCCTTCACGCTTGGGCTTCAAACCATGAGGCTGATTGCCATTGGGATCCAGCCCCTGGGCTCACTAGAATCTCTAAAACAAGCCATGACATGGATCCCATAGCCTCTACGCAGCTCATTTCCACGTGCTGTGCCGTTGGGGTCGAACAGACGGTTAGTAAGATATCTCAAGTAACAAGGTCACTATTGTGAAGTCAGATCTGGTGTGAACTGTACTGTAGAGCACGATGGATGCAACCGTCTGACGAAAGCCAACCAAGTGACTCCCTCACTGATGTTTTATTGCGGGGATGATCGCCTATCATGCCTTTAACAAAATGAAGACCTTCACTCCTACATACAGTTGGTAGGCTCAGTAGAAAGAGAGTGAAGCCCCTGGGCGGAGGAGGACCCTGGAAAATCCTGCCTTGAGACACCCTGGACGAGTCCCCCGGGGCGGGGCGGAGCAACGCTAGAGCAACGGCCGCTTGTCTCTTCAGCTGCGCCACCTGCTATTATGTGGTCTGCCGTCTGCCCGCAGCAAACATTACTGCATAGTACACGCAAACACACGCAATTAGGTACCTACCTCTCCACCTCCAGCCCAGCCCAGCCCAGCCAGCTGAGAGCATCACTGCGCCGCCACACAGCTGCAAGCCTGCTTTGCTTTGATTTGATCTACAAGAAAAAGTGCATGCATACTTATTGATCTCACTCCTCCTCCCCAAGCTGACTGTTTATTTTCCCTTGTCTATCTTCTTCATCCTACCATCTCATATCCGTCAATCATCATCATCACAATCTTCACCACCCGCGACGTCGACCTTTCCCCGACTCACCAGAAAGGTCTCGATATCCGCTCGTTGACTCTAGACTAGGTATCTGCATCTGCACCCCGCAGTCCTACCCTCGTTTCAGCTATCCCGACCATCGACGTCACACCCGCATACTTTTGAAGAATTCCTGATTATACACATAAAATACAATACACACAAACAGCCTCGACAGCGAAGAAACCATAAAAAGATGGGTTTCGGACGATTCATCTGCGTGGCTCTGCCATTCGCTCTCGCCATCGGCAGCTTGATTGCCATGCTCGTCGCCGGTCTAGCAGGTGTCGCCGACAAGAGCCTGTACATGTTCCGCGCCAACCTCACCGACCTCTCCATCAGTGCCACCTCGATTTCCAGCCTCATCAACACAAGGAGTGTGACTGGCGACTTCCACGATGCAAGCCAGCTGACCGATGGTCTCACCGGGGCTGAGACGGCAGATGATGGCTCAAAGACATCGAACATTACCGCCGCCGACCTGGGTCTCTACAACCTCTACGATGTTGGTCTCTGGGGTTACTGCTATACTACTACCACCGGCAATCGATCGTGCACAAAGGCCAAGTTCAACTGGGCCGCCAACGCTCTGAACACATCCACCAGCACCCTCCAGACTCTCGCTACCGCCTCCGGCCAGAACGTCACCCTCCCCGATGAGGTGACCAAGGCGATGGACACGTTTGCCACCGTCACGAAGTGGACCGAGGTCGTTTTCATCATTGCCTACATCGCCCTCGCCGTCGAGATCCTCTTCGGCATCTTTGCCAACTGCAGCCGCGCCATCTCGTGCGTCACCTTCATCATCGCCGGCGTAGCCACCGTGGCCGTCTGCGCCGCCGCCTCCATGGCCACCGCCATGTCCGTCGTGGTGGTCGGCACCGTCGAGAGCACCGCCAAGTGGTACGGCGTCAAGGCCGACTTCAACACAAAGTTCCTCGCGGCCGTGTGGATCGGCGCCGCCTTCGCCATCGCCGCCGGCTTCTTCTGGATGTTCACCATCTGCTGCTGCGCGCCCGACCACAGCAGCCGCAAGAGCCGCGGCCTCGGCTCCAAGCGCCACCTCGACAACGAGGCCGGCGAGAAGCTCATGCCCATCGGCGCCTACCAGCCCCTGCACGAGCCCGAGAACACTGGCTACTACGGCCAGCAGCACGGCAACCACCAGTACGGCGCGCCTCGCTACCCCAGCGGCGCGGGGCGCTCCGATCTGGCGTACGAGCCGTACTCGCATCGGGCTTAAAGGGGAGCTGTGTATGAAGAGCATGTTTATGACGGGAACACGTGAAAGTGTCCCATTGAATTTTGCACGTTAATTTTTTTTTCTCTCACTCTGGATGACATTGCATCAAACTGGCGTTGGGGGGATTTTGTTAGATCAAAGCATGATTGCAATGACAATAGTCGTTGCTAATGAGGCAAGAACTGCACAGATTAGTGGATAGATGAAATGATACCCCTCAAAAGGATCAATTGACACAACACTTGAGAATGACAAAATTTGTCCTTTGACATGCTTGTGGTGATGTGAACCATTACACAGTATTGTCCAGGTTCAGTGTCCGTGCTTCAGTCACTAAAATCATTTGGAGCGGGGCAACTTTCTAGTGACATGATGGTGACTCCACCATTCTCTGGGTACCTACTCTTTCAGGTACAGTATGGCCAAAGTCATCAATGGGGTCAAGCTGTCTTCAGACTTGGCGGATCATCACTCGACCGGCAATATATGGCTTCACAATGCGACTTATCAGCAACGCCGTTGAAACCATGAGCTGATATATCCTAGAGGTGCATCAGAAGGCACACTAATTAATTAGAGATTTAATAGGACCACGCATAGCAGTAGATATTGTTGTAACGATTCAGCCTAGTGAATGAATCATCATTCGACCACAAGTGCTGACTAGAATTCGAATCTGCTTTATTATTCCTACACAAGAGCTACAGCACCTTTATTGATCAGAAGCTGTGCTATCTTCTCATGGCCTCTATCTGATGCTATCTGCAAAGCGGTCCCACGTCTTCTGTCCTGTATATTGATATCAGCACCTTTCTCAATCAGAAGCTGTACTATCTTCTCGTGGCCCATAAATGAGGCTATCTGTAGAGCTGTCCCATATCTTCGACTCTGTCTATTGATTTCAGCACCTTTATTGATCAAAAGCCGTACTATCTTCTCACGGCCACTTCGTGATGCTGTCTGTAGAGCGGTCCCATTGAGTCGAGTCTGTATATTCATATCAGCACCTTTCTCGATCAGAAGCTGTACTATCTTCTCGTGGCCTGTAGCTGATGCTGCCTGTAGAGCGGTCCCCCATATTCCACCTTGTTGTGTATTGACATCAGAAGTTTCACACAATAATTCAGAGACGATCGAATCAAATCCAAGTAATGAAGCGTAGTACACTGGTGATGCAGCCTTGCCATGAGGTTCCTTGCCTCTGTACTCATCAAGATTCCAGGTTCGCACCCACTGCTCAAATTTCTTAGAACTTCGGAATAGCCGAATGGCTTGATCATGAACGTGGTATAACTTCTCATCTCCCTCACGATAGTGCTCGAACCAGCTTTTTGCGGCGTATAACGAAAGCGGGTACTCAGGATCATGCAACGTCGACTTAGGCTCGAGCAAATATGTCAGACAAATGCAAGCCACAGCAGCATGTGCCTCAGGTCTCTTCACACCAAAGGCCGCTACTCTATGCTGGCGTATCCGCTCGGATTCCAGATATTCCTGTACTGAGAAATGCGCAATGCGCACTGTCGACTGACAGTCATCAATATTAGGGTCGATCTCGATAAGACCAGGGCATATTTGATGGAGATCCTCCTCATCATTTAGTCGGCCATCAATGTTGAACCATGGATCATCTTCGAGTTCTACTGCGATGCCTTCGATGACTTCTGACACTGTCAATGGTCTCTTAGCACAGCAGAGTAAGGTCAGGAGTCGCTTAGCGTCTCCTTCAGACTCCTTGCTGATGCGTAATAACATCTGTTCATATGTCTTATCCAGAGAACGAGGTAAAGACACGAGTAGCATATCGAGTTGACGTTTGCTCCTGGGACAAGAGACTAACGCTGTAAGCTGACATTCAACCCAACGAAACCTAAGTAAGTCAGCAGCGAGTTTATATTAGGGTTCACAAAACGCACACGCCGTAGGCTCGCTCAGTCAGCGCGTTCTCAATCTGGTCGTGATATTTCTCCCACTTTCGAAGTCGGCGGTCATTCTTCAGTGAGCCAGATATAAATGACGCAATATCACGATTAACGGAATCATTCTTTAGCAAAATTTTCTCATCTCCGGAGGCCCTAGTCTCATTGTTGAGGACGTCCCGGATATCGACTTCATCACGACTCGTGACCAGGAGATGTAGGCCAGGTTCCGACCATGCCCGCAGCTCAACCAGCGCTTGCATCACATCTCCGCGTTGCTGGTGTCGTGGGCACTCGTCAAGTGCATCTAGGATGATATATGTATTATCAAACGACCGTATAAGTTGGTGTAGACAGTTCATAAGAGCTTGATCTGGTGGGGTTGTATTGCGATAACTGTCATATAATTGCGAGAGATTTCGGTTATTGCTATCAAGTTGACCTGATAGCTGTAAAACTAGTGCGCGGAGCATAGCGGAGGTATCTTGTTTAGCATCGTCACTGAAAGTGAAGAAGAAGAATGCAATACCAACGTGAGGATTTGATCTCCGATGTCGAAAGACATGCTGTATGGCTGTAGAACACAAAACCGATTTGCCGCACCCCGCAAAGCCATAGAGCCACAGGAAAGAGTTAGAATGCACAAGCCAAGAACAGTAGGAGCGGCCCTTGACGAGCCAGAGCCCGGTGCCATTATGCCTCTTCTTGCAAGCATCATTGTAGTTGATGCTGGCATCAGGAGCTCTCAACCAATCGCGTATATTCGACGAAAACTGGTTGGCTCTCACAAGATCGAGCAATAATTTAGTATCTTCAATATCTCTATGAACTGTGTTGATATCTCTCTGCTCTAAAATTTGTAGCGCCAGTGACAGTTGTGAAAGAAACTGCTCGATTTCCTCGTCAAGCTTCTGCAGCGTGCTCTGCCGAAAAGGGTAGGCTATTCGGCGTGCGGAACTACGAGCAAAGGCTCGGAGGCCGTTGATGGAGAAGTCGCTGAACTTGTCGCACTCGACTCGTAACTCGGAGACACACTCCTCACAGCCTTGGATACAATCAATGATGCAGTCGGGTGTTTTTTGCTCATCATCGCGATTTATCGATAGGTTACGGAGAATCGCAAGCATGCTAAGAAGAGATTCTAACCTCTTTATGGTGGAGGCAACGCTGGCATACTGGGATTTCCATGCCGAATAGAAGTCGACGAGGGATTTTGTGACTTGGATGCCGAGCGAAGTAATGCCGGCTATGCTTGCGGCCAAGGATATCCCGTCCATATCGAGAAGTATTTCGAAAGGAGTGCGCAGTCGTTGCTGAAGGAGCGCGCCATCTGTTGAATATCGAAGAGCGGGGTTCTTGGAACCCCCAACCTTAAAGTGCACATCTCGTCCTAAATCAGGCAGCGACAGGGGCTGACTTGTCGTCCAATCATGCAGTCGTGTTCTGCTTCGCCATCTCGCATCCTTACCGGAGAAAAATAGCAAAGAGTGCCTCATTCAGTCCGCGTACGGACATGCATGAGCCCAAGCCCCAGTTCTGGTCGCTTGACCAGTGGTCAAATCTGGAGGCTCAGTTTAGAAGGTGGCTGAAGCCTAGCATCTGTTTAGCTCCAGATTTGCTGGTAATTTTCCAGTACGGAGTACCTGAGGAGTACTGTACCCGTGGATGGTCGGATCAGCCGTGTCCACAGCCAAAAGCGGCATCGCTCTAAACAATTTTAGTAATTGAAGCTTGGACGCTGAACCTGGATACTAGTGTACACCTTTTCTACTGTGACTGAAAATGATACTTCAGATTCAGGGGGTTCACACCTACTGGCCTAAAAGCAGCCATTACGTGCTAAGAAAATAGCTTCAACTACACTGAAAATTCACCACTTTTACGCACCAGGCACCCTGAGTAGAAGCAGAGACATGGTCAAGAACAAGCGGCTTGAAATACTCCATCTCATGAATTGATTATAAAGGAACGGGCTATAGCCCTTCCAAACCAAAACATCCCATATGTCTCAAACCGTGAGTGAGAAAAAAAAATCTACTTCCAGGTGCACTTTTCTAACTATGTACAAGGTGAAGCGCCACGGCGCCTTGCGGCGAGAGCATGTCCTCTGCCCGATTACTGCCCTCTGCTTCTACAAGGCCAGGAACGGCCGTCTTTTCATCCTAGCAGGCGAGGACTCCCGGCTCACAGTCTACGATGTGGCGTCATCAGCACTGTGCGCTGCCCTGCAGGTGTTCACGGCCCAGTACATCCACGGCATCCTGGTCAGGAGCGAGGGCGCGTTGCAGAGCGGCGGCGCAACGGTCCTCATCTGGGGCGGCTCCTCGGTGACGGCGCTGTCCCACGAAGACATTGAGAGCCTCTTGGCTGGGAGGGGAGTGCAGCCGCCGGGTGAGGTTCTGGCTCCGGACTGGATATACGACGGCGTTTTGTCGCCTACCGAGAGGGACCTAGGCGCTATCATCACGGCACATAATGAGGTCATTCCTCTCCTCTTCAGTGCGGATGGTAGAGCTATCAAGCTTGGGCTGCTGAGGTCTCCATCTCGGCCGATTCTGTACTCGGCCAAACTAGCTTGGGACACCGATCGCCGTCTCATCGTGGGCGCGGGGACAGCATTTGGTGAAATTGTCGTCTGGAAGTGTGATCTTGAGAACGACAAGGAGGAGGAGGATTGCGAGATCATCTACGTCTTCTCCGGCCACGAGGGGTCCATCTTCGGCGTGGACATCACCCCTGAGCTCACACTCCCTTCTGGCGTCAAAACTCGGCTGTTGGCTAGCTGCAGTGATGATAGGACCAATCGTGTTTGGGACATCACGGAACTGCGAAAAGGCGAAAAAGGCGGCGATGCAGTCGCAAGGACGTTCAGCGAAGCGCGAGAGACTGGGTTTGGTAGTGGCTATGAGGCTGTTGATAGGCCGCAGCATCGATCGAAGCCGGTGGCTGTCGTGATGAGTCACGTTTCAAGGATTTGGCATGTCAGGTTCGCGATTGATACCCCTGAATTACCCAAGGGTGGGGGATTCATACTATACTCCTTCGGAGAAGATGCCACGACACAGCAGTGGCAGCTCGACCTGAAGGATCCTGAGTACCGGAATTTTCTTGAGCAGAAGCTGCTGCATGGGAGCGTTTCTACAGAGGCAGAGTCCTTGGCTTCTCTTACCCAACTTGCTTCTTATGATAGCCACAGCGGCAAGCATATATGGTCTACTGCGATTTGGACGGAGGGTCCTCCTCTTGTCGCGAGCGGTGGAGCTGATGGGATGATTAACATCATTGGGAATCTAGACGACGTGGCTGTCAAGTCCGAAGATACAAAGCCAGCACCTATGATATCCTTTTCTGCCTCCGAGGTCTTGAAAGGCCTTGGAATGACAGATCACGACACTTATCCTACCCCCAATGGCACTGCCGACACATCTGCTGCTCCGGCAACGTTGACTAAGGCTAAAAGACCGAAGCGTCGCAAAGCTTTAGTTGATGCCTTTAATCAATACACCTTCCTCTCCGAGAACCAGATTTTGACGACAACGTTATCCGGAAAGATAGTAGTCTGCCTTCTGCAGGAGAACACTTTACAGTGGTCAGTAGTCGAAGTCGACGATGCTATACGTCAAGACTTGGCCTCATACCAACTTGTTCGAAGCATCGGTTCTGGGAAAGCATTGCTGGGCTCCAGCAGCGGGAGTGTCTACATGTATGACACAAAAAGGTTAAAAAAGGTAGCGCAGGTTGGCGGCAAAGTCGCAGACATCTTCTGCCTTACAGATTCGGCGAGGAGTAGAGGCAAAGACCTCGACATTTTTATCACAGTTCTAAGACAGCCGACGGCTATTCTGCTCAATATCAAGCCTTCAGAGGAAGACAGTACTTTAACGGAGGCATCTATAGTGCTCGACCAAGGGTTCATTGTCACAGCAGCAGCCTTCTGCAGGAGTTATCTCGTGGTAGGCTCTCGATACGGCGCCATTACCATATACGCAACACGATCAGGAGCGGACTTTGAACGTGTTGCAAGAATAGAAGGCCAATCTGAGGATGCCGTCGCATCGATAATAGCACTTCCACAGGGTGCGGATGGCGCGCCTCCTTATTTCCTCACAGCCTGCCGAGATGGCAAATATCGCATATACGAGGTATCTGACTTATCCGATAATGTTGAGATAGTCTTTCGACACGAAGCGTCTCCTCCTCTTGGTCCGATGATAGAAGGCTCTTTCTTCGTCCAGGGACCGAGCGGCAAGCAAGAGTTGATCCTCTGCGGCTTCCACAGCAAGAACTTCGTCGTCTGGAACGAAACGAGATGTCAGGAGATTGCCTCGGTCGAGTGCGGTGGTGCTCACAGAGCCTTCACTTACCGCATTGATCCACAGCAACCTGAGCGGCTCTGCTTCGTCTGGACGAAGGCCTCTCAAACGTACATATATAGGCAACAGCGGATGCCACATAGACCCATAAAGGCCGGCGGCCACGGTCGTGAGATACGGCCCGTAAGCAGTTGTTCGGATTATCTGGCTACGGGGGCTGAAGACACTACATTGCGGATCTGGAAGTATGAAGATGACGGCAGAAAAGGGGGTAAGGGCCTTCGTTGTCTAGCCGTCCTCGAGAAACATGACGCAGGCATACAGAGTCTGAAATGGTTTGGCAATGACTACCTCCTGAGCAGTGCTGGCAATGAGGAGCTGTTCATATGGAAGGTCACCACATTACAATCGACATATGACGGACTGGCAGTAGTGTGTGAAGCTACATGCCCCAATCAGACCCCTGATGGAGATCTCAGAGTTATGAACTTTGACGTGGATGGTGTAGTAGAAGAGGCCACCAATCCAAACACAAAACGCATGTACATCACGCTTGCGCTGTCGAATTCCACTATCAGGACATACGAGTATTCCAAGGACGATGGCTTCAAGCTGTTGTCAAGAGGGACATACACCGGTGCCTGCATAACGCAGGTTCGGCATTTACGAATGCAAAAAGATGAGCTACACGTCTTGACAGCATCTACAGATGGCCATGTTGCTATTTGGAAGACGGCTAAGCCATCTAACACAGAGAGCCAGACCCTAGAGGATTTTGCGTTGGTGGCAACAGCCCGCATCCACCAGAGCACAATAAAAGCTCTCGATCTTCGCCGTATACCATCGGCGTCATTATCATGGTTCGTCGTCACTGGAGGAGACGACAATGCCATGGGCGTTTCCCATATCTCTTGGGATAGCGCGAAAGAATCCTTTGCCATCTCTAAAAGGTCAATTGTCAACAGTGTCCATGCAGCTGCGGTCACTGGAACAAGCATTGCTGCATTATCAGACACTACGGCTTTCGTCGTTACAAATAGCAATGACCAGAGGGTTAAGTCTTGGGAGGTTCAGCTCGAGAGAGGGAACAAGGCCGTTGCCCTTCTTGAGAATAGATATAGCTGTGTAGCTGATACAGGAGATCTAGATTTGATGCCCGATGGGCGTCTGGTCATCGTTGGGGTCGGCATGGAGTTCTGGAAAATAGAGGCATAACAGCGCTGGAAGTCTAGAAATACCTGTATTGTCATTTCAAGGCTATATTTATATGTCGCTGCATGACAACGAAATATGAGACAAGAAAAATGATTTATACAAAACTTGCAACTCAGAAGGCGGCTCAATGAGTTCTAATCTCCGACTTTGCCAAATAAGTTCACTATCACAACTCAATAAAAAAGAGTTCATGTAAGTGATATTAGGAGTTATCTCAAGACAGGAGTCGCTTTAATTATCCAAAAAGAGACACTAAGAGTCATAGATTGGTAAAAAGGAGTTGATCCGGGTGGGGATTGAACCCACGACCCTCTGCGTGTAAAGCAGATGCCATAACCGCTAGGCCACCAGACCAGAGTAAATTTCGTAGAAATTACAAGCCGGATTCGGCACTTTTTTGTATCTGGCCGTTATTTGGCAATATTTGGGCTGACGGACTTGGAAATCGCCTGAGTTTGGATTTTTGTTGCAAAACTTACGCCGCGGCGTTATGGATCGCCAAAAAGAGAATCAAGTCATGGAAAAGGCTTCTAAAGAAAATAAAAAATTCAGTATGACTATTAATGAGGATTATTATTTTGTTGCAGGTTGAAGAGAAAAACTTAGGGTAACTGAATTTCTCAATAATGTTCTGAGGTGACTACCACTGGTACCTTAGGTACATGAGCACCTAAAATACTTACTGACTTAGGGGCCGTAGGGCTACCTAGGTAGGTACAGTAGTATACAACTCTTGGCGAATCAGACAACCACCTGCATTGCCATTTGATGCAAAGTTTCTTGTCTTCCTAGATACAATCAGCGTAGTCATGGCAAGCTCGAGGCGTACTCAGGTCGCTTTACTAGGCGTTAACAATGCTATCAATAACATATTCGTCAGGTCAGGCACTGTTTCGGAACCAATTGGTAAATATGAGCTAACTTTTCAACAGAGCAGCAGCTTCGACAGCTCGACCTGCTTTACCTAGCAATCTGAGCAGAGGCAATGCCCCTCGAGCTTGGGGCTTCTTACAACAGCATGCGCATGCCCATATCTGCCGACGATGCTTCTCTCAAACAGCTCCTGCGCTCTCCAAGAAGAAGGGCAAGGCGCATAAGGGCGAGCACGAGGAGCCAGCCCACGAGACGAAAGCCGTCGACTCCAAAAGCCCCAAGCCCAACCCCGAAGACGCCTTCAACTTCGCCGACGTCGAGCTCGCCTACAAGCGCATCGACGAGCACCACGAGGACAAGCTGAAGAAGCTGCGGATCGGCGGGCGCTTCAACCCCGACGTGGTGGGCGCGCTGCGCGTACGGCCAGACAAGCACGCGAGCGACACATACCCGCTGCGGGAGCTGGCCCAGGTGGCGCACAAGGGCGGGCGCAACGTCAGCATCCTGGTCAACGAGGCCGAGTACATCAAGCCGATCATGAGCGCGGTGCAGGCGAGTCCGGACTTCAACCAGCAGCCGCAGCACAACCCGGACAACGAGCTCGAGCTGCTCATCAAGATCGTCCCCGAGAACCCGGACGAGCAGGCCAAGCGCGTCAAGGAGGTGTGCCACACCTGGCGAGAGCAGATCCGCGACCAGCTGCGCCGGCGGTCCAAGGACCATGCCAAGTGGAGTGCCGCGAAGCTCGTCACGGCGGACGATGTGCGACGGCTGGACAAGGAGGTCAAGAAGCTGCAGGATCAGCAGATGGCGGCGATAGATACAAAGGAGAAGAAGGCTCTCCAGGAGGTCACGTCGAAACAAAATCGTCTTTAGATGGAGTCCACAAAAAGCATTGATACGGTCTATGGTATTGGGCCATACTTTTGCAAGATATATCATGTATTGTTACATAGGAATGACACCGAAGTGTCCTGTACAGTGGTCATTGATACACATTCGTTCTATGCCTTTGCCTTTGCGGCTTTCTGAGGAGCCTTTGCATCCTTGGCCAGCGGCAGCAGTGACCGAACCTTTGCATCGAGCTTCTTCCCATCTTCAGCCTGGTATGTCGAATCGCGATTGTGGTACATCGCCAATGTGCCGTAGATATCCTTGGCTGTAGCGAAGGTGGGCGCCACATGCTTCCCTTGAATAGCCGCCTGTATAATGGCCTTCTTCGTCTCGTCATGTACCGGCGTGAACTCCTCAGGTCCGTCATTGCTCTGCAGCTGCCACTCGCGCTCCTTGACATCCGAGAAGAATACCGGCTTGTTTCGTCGAACCTGCTGACTGACGTCTTCCGGATGCGTATAGTTAGCGCTGGCGTTGAATGGCGCACCGCCAGACAGGATTCGCATGTTCCGCAGAGCTGTCTCAACCTTGCTCACTGGCGTTGTGCTCACCACAGCCGGGCCGTATCCGAGGAGCGACTCCTTCGTCAGCGACGGCTTGTAGGTCGTCTGGACACCTTGTTCATGGGCCTCGAGCCACAGCTTCTCCTCAATGCTGTAGATGTATTCGTCGCCTTCGCCGTCTTCATTGCCGTCCTTCTTCTTCTTCTTGAAGCCGGCACGCTTCGCTTTCCCCTTCCCTCCCGGCCGTCCTGCCCCAGCGCGGCCTGGCAGTCGAGGCCGGGCGCCAGGTCGTCCCCGGGGACCGTTGCCTGTACCAGCATTTCCGAAGTACGTGCGCGGCGTGAACTTTTGTCCCCCATCGCCAGCTTTGTTCTCGCCTCCATCTCCTGTCGGGGCTCGCCTGGCGAGGAATCTCGGGCCGTTATTGCCATCCTCAGGCTTTCGCGGGAGGCTGCGGAAGCTGATGATCTTGTTATTGCTGCTGTCAAAGCCCGACTTTTTGAAGGACGGGGCTCCGGAAGACCCTTGCGACGCCGGTGAGGACTTGCTCAGGGCGCCAAGCTCAGAGGCCGCGGCGGCGGATCGTTGATGTCTCGTGGAGGGTGGTCCCTTGGACTTGGGTCTGGGTTTGCCGGACTCTTGTGATTTTTGCTGCTCGTCCTTGGGCTGCTCTTCAGCTGGTCGGATGTGTGTCGTTGAGAATGTCCGGTGGCAGAGTCGTAAGCTCTGCCTGGAGCGATTGACCTCTGCCACGCTCCGCCCGAGGACGGAGCGAATGGCGGGCGCATTGGGGTGCATGGCGCTTCAATTGGCGATGCTGGAAAGCGCTTGTGGTGAAAGTTCTCAGACCATCCGGAAGTGAAGCTTTACGTGCAGGAAAATCAGGGTCGAGGTAGGAAGAGCTGATTGGCTGCCAGATTGAGACCCAGGTATGGCACAGGGTTAGGGTTAAGTGTGGTGATTGAAAACGATTCAACTTGAGTAATATCACGACAACATATTCAATCCAAACTTTTTAGCAACTACTAAAACATTTTATTCAGATATTAGACAGGTCAGGATCCTTCTGTCTGTGGCCGAGCTCAATCACATATACTCCTTTTCCAACCCTCGTTCTGAGAGATCCACTATTTGGTCTGCAGCCCCTGGCTAACACCACCGTATGTGACCATCTTCGTAATCTGGTACTCTCCGATTCCGTGATGTGAGCCTTCCCTTCCAAATCCAGACTCCTTCACACCACCAAACGGCGCAGCAGGATCTGAGATGATACCAACGTTGACACCCACCATACCGACCTCCAAGTGCTCCGCTACTCTGTATACCCTCGCAAGGTCGCGAGAGTAGAAGTAGCCTGCGAGACCGACAGGTGTAGAGTTGGCAATCTTGACCACCTCCTCTTCAGTCTCGAAGGGGAACAATCCGGCGACAGGGCCGAATGTCTCCTCAGTTGCCATCGCCATGTTGGCGGTCATGCCGGTGATAACGGTTGGCTGGTAGAAGTTCGCACCCTCGTCGGGCAGCTTGTGGCCACCGAGGATAATCTTGGCACCCTTCTTCTCAGCATCCCGAACGTGTTGCTCGACCTTGTCGACAGCTCTGTCGTGGATCAAGGGGCCGTGTGTGATTCCCTGCTTGAAGCCGTTTCCGACCTTGAACTCCTCAACCTTCGCCGCAAACTTCTGGGAGAACTCGTCGTAGACACCCTTCTGAACGAATATCCTGTTCGCGCAAACACAAGTCTGGCCGGATGACCTGAATTTGGAGTTGATGGCACCAATAACAGCGGCGTCAATATCAGCATCGTCGAAGACAATGAATGGAGCGTTTCCACCAAGCTCGAGAGACAGCTTCTTCAGCGTTCCAGAGCACTGCTTCATGAGGAGCTTTCCTACACCAGTAGAGCCAGTGAATGAGATTTTGCGAACAACAGGGTTCGTAGTAAGCTCCTCGCCGACCTGAACTGTTGTCTTCAAAGCAGTGATAACGTTAACAACGCCCTTGGGAATACCAGCACGGTCTGCAAGCTCGGCAAGAGCAAGGGCCGTGAATGGTGTCTCACCAGGAGCCTTGCAAACAGTGGTACAGCCAGCAGCGACGGCGGGTCCGATCTTGCGCGTGATCATGGCGGCAGGGAAGTTCCAAGGGGTGATGAGTCCGCAAACACCAATCGGCTCCTTGGTCGTCCAGACACGGTTGGTAGGCACAGATGAGGGGATTGTGTCACCGTAGATGCGCGGTGCCTCCTCACTGAACCACTCCAGGAAGTTGGCGGCGTAGGTAACCTCGCCTTTGGCGTCCGCAACAGGCTTGCCGTTCTCCCAGGTGATGAGGGTGGTCAGATCCTCGGCGTTCTCCATCATCAAATCATACCATTTTCGAAGCAGCTTCGAACGCTGTCGTCCGGTCTGATGCCGGAACGACTCAAAGGCGGCCTCGGCGACACTGACGGCCTTTGCGGTATCCTTGGCGTCGAACTCGGGGCATGTGCCGATCAGCTCGCCGGTCGCCGGGTCGTGGACCTCGAAGGTCTTGCCGGAGGCGGCCTTGACCCATTCACCATTCACGTAGCACACATCAGTCTTCAGGAGAGACTGGTCCTTGAGCTGAAATGGAACACAGAGCTTAGCATGGCATGTCCTTGTTTGCGCCGCGCGCAGGGGGGATAGATGTCACGTCACCAACCTTGGGAACCATATTGGAGGCAAGTCGGTAGAATGCGACAGACAGGACAGGGACAGCTTTTCTCTGAAAGGGCGAGCTGCTTCGACTCACGAGACGGGAGGCGGAAGTCACAGTCTTTTGTAGGACAGAAGTCATGGTTGCAGGACTACGGGACTTGTCGGCAGGGCTGACGATGTTTTCATAGCCAGCCAGCCAGCCAGCCAGCGAGCGCAAAGTAAGCCGATGCCGGGAACGGGGGTGCGGAGTCGAGGCGGCGTTACGGGCAACTCAAAGAATAGGTAGCTTCGGTAGGAGGGGGAAGATAGCTCCAAAGATTAGGGAGGTATACTAGGAGGAGATGGAGGACTTGGCCGCCGCCCGATAGGGATAGGCAAATGATGGGCGCCGGTCAATGTGGAGCTATCCTGCGCAAATGGACGTAATTGGAGAGTCCGGACTCTGAGGGCAAGAGAGGATTCAATTGAGTCTCTTGATGAGCATTTACGGAGACGCTCCGGAGAGAGATTTGTAGGTGTATCGAGGTATACCTGCGTAGGGATAGGGATGGAGGTGGTGGAACAACAATTTGACGCGGTCACAATGACGTCTCCTGTCTCCTGTCTCCCGGGCTGGAGGACCTATCCATTCACGCCATTGAATGATATCAGGCGCTCTTTGCCCTCTGGGAACCCCTCCAATCGCCCAAGCTCCCAGAGCAACCTCCTGGGACTATGAATGTGGGGAAGAGCTCCGAGAGAGAGAGGGGCATTGCCGGCGCCTGTCTGATCGCTGCAGTACCGGAAACCTACGGCGCCACCTACCTACAGTAGGTAATTGATTGATTACTGACCATCACTACCTTCCGACAGTATTCTTTGCAGCCAAACTTGCATCTTCTCTCAATGCAGTAAAATTATTTCCCAGTCGGTCGACCTCTGCATTTTGGAACTGGAGCCGCCTATTCACGGCACCTTGATGTCGGCCGCTTGGACTTGCCCAACTAGGAGCTAGTTGAGCCATAAAGGGCTAGACGAGAACACTCGACTCGGCGGTTACGGCCAGTAAGACTGTGGGACTCAGGCGGTCGTCGTTGACATAGAAAATCAATCTTAGTCTGCTGGACTGTTGAACTGGCGCGCTTCGTGAAAAGTCGGGGAGTTAGGATCCTTCTCTAGACAAAGACAACAGACTCTCTCGGCTTCGCTACGCTGCCGATCGCCAGCCAAGCCGAAAGCCGACGCTCTACGGCTGGATCTGTATGAGGGGGTAGTGAATTCGTAGCTTGAGTACCTGCACTCGGCACTGTCAAAGAAGTCCCTTCATTCATGCGGGGAAACTTGGGGGAGGGGAAGACTCGAGGAGACTGGTGTCTTGCAGCAACGTTGCTCTAGTCCAGTTCCAACTCCTTGGTTTGGAATCAAGACTCTTCACATGGTTCTAGAGCATGGTCAAGCCCCCAGAAGGCCCAATGACAACAAGGAGAGAGACTCCTCGTAAAACGTATGACGGACCTCCGCAGCCCTGTCCTGGTCGACTGCGGGCAAGCTGGCCAGCTGACGCCTTTCCCGCAAGCTACAGCGCTGTCTGAACTCTCTGCACGAATGCAATGCATGCGGGAACTTACTGTCGCCAGGGGCATCGGCGCGGGGAAGCACGCAGGTCACAGTTAAAGTGTTGATCTTCCTTGTTTCAAGCTTAACGTCCCCCTCAAGGAACTCTCTTTTCACTGGCTCGCCCGCTGCCCATTAAGGCAGGTTCCCGGTAATATGAAGCTATGAGGCCCTCTGATTGCCGGAATGGTTGTTTCCCAGCTCGCTGCCTCCCAGCCCGGGCGTGTTCTCGGTTGCATTACGTCGATAGAACCATGTGAGCTTCTGCTTAAAGCCCAGGGCATATATAGCCGCCACCATCGTAAATGTCATCATCTTGGATGATTTTGGTTGAGTCGCAATCCTTTTGAGGAGATTCAAAGTTTGTAGCAGTGACATGAGAAACTAACTAATGCTCCCACAATGGTCCTCGCGACGATTGCTGTTTCTTTTCTGACAGTGGCAAGTGTGGTAGAGGCTGTAAACTTCACACTCAATGGCATTGGCACGGAGAGCATCAATGCGAACTCCCCGTTCACAGAAGCTTTTGTGAGCTACTCCATCGAGTTCGCTTCGTTCCCTGACTTCGCTGGTAAGACATCTCCTGGGTTTGTTTTGTCTAGACAAGTGAAGTGACACAAGGTAACTAGGAAACAAATCGGCGCCAAATGTCTTTTCAGACAACCTCCTCACCAATATTGGCAACATAATTGGCACCAAGCCATATATCAGAGTAGGAGGAAATACTCAAGACTACGCGCTCTACAACGCATCCTTGCCATATGCACTTAACGGGACATTCAATTTCAACAGGTCCTACGATTATCCCACAACTATCTACATTGGCCCCTCGTACTTCGAGTCATATAGTACCTGGCCCAAAGTCAAATTCACCCATGGCTTCAACCTGGGTCTGGGCGGAAACAACTCTGCTGGGTGGCAGACACTGCTGGAAACCGTTCCTCTTGCCTGCAAAGCCATCTCTCCGGAGAGTCTGAACTACTGGGAGTACGGAAACGAACCTGACCTCTTCTCGACCTCTTCCCAAGGCCCAGTCAGGCCTGCCAGTTGGAACGAGACCACTTACGTGAGCCAGTGGTTCAACGGAACCGATCATATCAAGGCGTTGCTCCAGGAAAACTGCCCAGAGCACTTATCAAATGGATCATACGGATACTTTGCGCCATCATTTGCTGGAACAAGCAACCATCTCAAGGCGCCTGCGGCATGGGCGGCAGGCCTGAATGATAACGGAGATGTCAAGCTGTTCTCTACACACAAGTACTGGCTCGATAATCATCACTTAGGCAAGAATATTATCAGCTAATGTATTCTCAAGCTATATCAGCGGAGCTTCTTCCCCTGGGGTCACACTGCAAGGGACTCTCCTGAACCACACGAGCACAACGGTCTCAGTCGACAAGCATGTCACAGAGTAAGTACCGGAAATTGATGAATGCCCTTCGAGTAACCTGGCCCTTCTCGCACTGCGCCTTCTTGATCAGCCACTTTAGCTGCTCCATGCCGTATTGGCAAGCTAACGATGTGCATTTAGATATAACAAGATCTTTCCCAACGGCAGTGGTGTTCCTTTCATCATGGGTGAGACGAACTCGCTCTACAACGAAGGAAAGCCCGGCTTATCGAACTCTTTCGGCGCCGCTCTCTGGGGCATAGATTTCAACCTATACTGTGCCTCCGTTGGCATCAAGCGCGTCCACATGCACATGGGCACAGACTACCGAGTAAGCCTGTACCAAAGACGCTCATCGTGACCTTGCCCCCTATTCTAACACTGCACCACTAACACGCAACCCCTTAGTACGCGAGCTGGCAGCCCATCCAGACCAAGAATACGACTATCGGCACCAAGCCTCCCTACTACGGCAACATCGCTGTGGCCGCCTTCCTCGGGGATACGACCAAGGAGCCCGTGTCCGTCGCACACGTGCCCCTCGCGCAGACCTGGGAGGCCGCCTACGCAGCGTACGTGGGTGGCCAGCTCGCGCGCGTCATGATCCTCAACATGAACGGCTTCAACACGACCGTCAACGGCACGGGGCTGGGCCTCGCGCCGGACCCGCCCGCCCGCATCACGCGGACGTACACGTTCGGCGTGGACGGCGCGGCGCCCGCGGGCACGAGGGTCGCTGTGCGCCGGCTGTATGCCAACGGCAGCGACGCGATCACGGGCATTGCGTGGGACGGGTGGAGCTACAACTACGAGCTGGACCACGGGCGCCCGGTGCGGCTGGGCAACGTCACCGTCGGGGAGTTCTCCACGGTCGGCTCGGGCGGGCTGGTGAGCGTCAACGTGCCGGACTCGAGCGCGGTCGTGCTGGACTTTAGGACGCCGGCGGTGGTGCCGGGGAATGGGACGAGCGGTGCGCGGAGGAGACACAGTATCCTGGGCTGGTGGGTGTAATTGCCTAGATGTCAGCATTTAAATCACCTCATGGAGACACATTTGTAATCCTAATGTACGGGTGTGTTGGACAAGCCTATATACCGAGAGAAGCTCTCAGAGGCCTATTGATGGCGAGCACAGCGTTCGGAACCTCCCACGTCGTCTAATATACATACAAATCCACAATCGGTGATCCATCTTGCCTTAACTCCCAGGGCGAAGCAGCAGCTCACCAGCGGAGTGTTGCTATGTTCGCCCATCCCATTGTATATGAAGCACTCGGTATCCAACCAAGGAAATTAATGCCAATATTGTTCTTCTCTGTAAGATGCATCTTATCACACTCATTTCTCAGAAACGGCGTCCAACATCAAGAAGTCCGACCACGTCGTTGGCAGGGTTAGAAATGGTCGTTATATGTGTCATCATAGGTCCTGAGCGCCAGATGGAGCAGATATTCGCCCATCCCAGATCATCGCCTATTGTGCGGTAGCTTGGCTAGCTATCTAAGTATACTGTTGCTGCCGGAATGGAAGTTTCCTGTCCAGGGTGTGGAATGCCTGCGTCCTGGGAGTAAATGGCATAGGCTGGCGCGGATTAGCGGGCATCATCTCGTAGTGCTTGTCCGTCTTCGGGCTATCGTCCTCCTCCTCGTCCAACATCTTGTCATCTTTGCGTGGAATCATGGAGTTGATCGCCAGGCCAAGCATGACCACGTAGATGAAGCTTTTAAGTCGTTAGTATAATATTCTCTACAAGTTCACGAGTAAATATGGGGGCACGTACAGTAAGTAGACCGTGACGGCAAAACTGCCCTTTGCCAACTGGCAACTCTTATACGCGTTCCACGGCCGCGCTGGATCACAGCTTTTGCGGATGTACCATGCTACCGGGCTGGGATAGCGCGAGTCCGCGTAGTCCGGGCCAGCTTGTCCATAGACACTTGTGGCATACAGTGCGGTCATGGCGAAGCTGGCGAAGACACCGATGACTGGGTAATATACTTTCATAATGAAAGAGATGAGCTTCGCTAGAAGGACGAAGAGAGACAGAACGGAAATGGCAACATTAAAGTTTGTCAATCTGAACGTATATGCGGTCAGCTTTTGACTGTCTCCATTTGGAGCTTGTAAGTGATGCTTACGTTTGCGACCATACGAACGGAATCTTGGGAAGCGGCCGATGGTTGGCATAAGCGTAGAGGATCATGTTGGGGTTCGAGTTGAAATGGTTGAGAAAGCCGACTTTCCACATTGTCGTGCGATACGCATCAGGCTGTGCAATGCCAAACATGACGAGTGCCGATACGATGCCTGCGAGTTCTGCGATCATAATCCACCACATGATCTTCTTCAACCGCCATTCTCGAAAGAAGAATCTGTAGGCCATTTTTGCGGGTAGTTTTCAAAAACGCTCAGGACCGAAATCGTTTAACCCAACGTTACGGTGTTTTATGAATACTCGAGATGAACAAAGCTTGTTCAGTTGGCTTCTCTTTGTTGCTGTTCTCTGTAAGACGCTTCCCCGCCTCTTCACTATCGCCGTTTCGTTACCTTATCGTGGGCTTATCGGTCGCTGGCTGGCAGCAGTCCGGGGACACTCTTTCACATCGGAAATCGTTGCTCCGCACTTCTTGATGTCGGCAGCAGCTCGCACAACTGGGACACAGTCCGGTTGTCGAGGAGTCAGTCTGTCGATTGTTGAAAAATGGATCTCGAGGCTCAGAAGAAAAACCAAGACAAAGAGAGGGGGCGGAACGGGAGGAGGCACTCGTGCAGCCAGCCATGCTTAAAGGTCAGCGCCAACCGCTGTGTCCGGGAAGGAGAGCGTCAGCACGAGCGATGCCGACCTGTGAGATGCAGGTCAATCAGCTCTATCACAGGGCGGGCCAGCAGAGAAAGCCCAATGGGAGGGACGGGCATCACAGCGTAAGCGCTGAAGGACTGCCGGGGGGCTCAAGTCATTGGCCAGTGCCAGGGGTTCGTGAGATTCTGCCAGCCAATCCGGAGGGCGATACGCGATGGCATCTAAAATGGGGTCCAAAAGCGATCCATTGAGAGCAGACCGCCTGCCACACGCCCACTTGGGCCCGGTCGGCTTGTGCTTCTGAGCGCAACGGGAGAATGCAGGCCTCTTCACAATGCCTCAGGATTGAAGAAGCGGGACATCTGCGCTCTAACAGAGACGCACATGGTAAAAGTGCCCTCTTTGTTATACTGGAAAGAGCAGCTTGAGAAAAGGAGTGCGCGCCTTTTGACTTGGTGGGAAGCTTGCAAGACACTAAGCGGCCACCTGGCTTGGCAGCAGTCCCAAAAGCTGGCCTGGTTTAACTAGGAACCCCGGGTTCACTCAGACCGTTTCGCGGACGAGACTTTGTTTCGGCCGAATGATTATGGGACTGAAGAATCGAGATGGCTTCAGGAGTCATTGTTCAGCCGTTTGCCAAACGTCTCTTCTAGGTTGCTTGCGCAAGCCGAACGTGTGTGGATCCAGGGTGAAATGATTGCGAATACTACAAAGATCCCATTCACGTTGGGCAACGGGTCGATCGCACGTGAAACCTCATGGAAAGACGGTTCTTTCTCCAGAGCTCATGAATTGTCATGGATTTGATTGTTCCAGGTTCCTTACTGCACTGGAGAGATTGAGACCATGTCCCAAGAGGGTTGTAGCGCAACAGTTTGGGGTCTAAACTTAGCCTGCAGTACTGCCCATAGTAAGCCGACGATTCCTTCTGGTGACATAGCACATGCAGGAGGCGATAACCGATATAGATGCTGGCCCAATCTTGCCAGGTCTTCATCGTAGGTCCTCGGTTAGAAGGTCATCCACGTGGGCAACGCTGATTCCCATGCCCTGAAATTCCTTCTGAAGAACCTTGGAAGCTGCCGGCGGATTTTAGTCGGTAGGACTACTATGCCTCCTACTTTACGATGCCCAAAGAGCATCACGTAGTCCAAAGATGCAAGCAAGTGGCCAGGAAGTTGATAGTGCACCCAGATCACAATGAGCGGCAACTATTAATAACGATAACTCGAATGCAAGTCTTGGATCCTCCAAAGATATACGCGGGATAAAAGTAGCAGATCGGGAAAGAGCGATGCCATCATCGATCAAACCTGCTTGCCTTGATGACCGAGGAGGAAGGTACGATCAAGCCAAAGCCGTTTACGAAGTAGGTCTAGCCAACCTACCTCTGGCTTGAGCACCAGCACCAGCACTCTGACACACCCAGATGCTGTGGTCATGATTCGGTAGGCATGGAGCAAAATGTCAGATATGTAAGGTGGGATTTATCGTTATCTTTTCCATTTGAAACCGAGGCATATTTAATCACTGCGATAGGGCAAATTCCTCGAAAGGGAACATGACCGACATGGTCGATGCGATCTCTCAGGTCGAAGAGGCAAGCACGCAAGTTGTTTTGGAGCGGACTGGCTATAGATACACGGAGCAGCAGGAGGCTCCGCGTCTCGCACGTGTGTGATGAAGCTGCTTGACTAGGACTCGATGCCTGAATCTGGATGGGTTCGCCGAGCCTACCGTTCACGACCAGCGACTTCGAGAACATCCACCGACCACGATCGTCCCTGCGCAAGTCCCGTGTTGGTGTGCCCCTAGGCTCCCGGGGCTTACACGATGATGAAAAGGACGACCCGTTATGAAGTCACAGCGTAACTGACTTGCATATTTTCCCATCCCTAGGGCAGTGAAGATCCCAGTCAGTCCTTGGCTGCGGGTTGCCAGGTGGTTTGGGCTCAAGGTAGTGGTGTTCGACAGATCGACTTTTGTGATGCTCGTGAGGGTTAGGATGGGGGATTGGCATGCTTTACAGCTGTTGTCGATCGCCCCGAAAACAGCCTCGAGGATTGCCAGTGCCAAGCTTTTTCCCTTGCCCCCATCAGCCCATTCTCTCCTGGAGCCCGTCACGGCCCAATCCCTGTTCGTCGATGCTCGACACTGCCAGGGTCTCTGATTGGCCTCGACCCTCGATGCACAGCATCCACAGGGTACGCCCCCAGGGTCCTTAGTGGCCCCCCCAAACGCCAAAAGCCTCGCAATCTCTGCGCTTACCAAATTGTGGAAATAGATCGGTCTGGACTCTTTGATCGGCACGGCCCATCAATTTTAACGTCCCGCCAGCTTCCCTGTCGCGACGTCGAAGATCACCAAGTTTTGGCCTGCAAGTACCCTATCGAACAGGTCGATATAGCAGACCCAGAAGAAAGATACGCACGCGCAGAACACATGGCCAAAATGCCCCGACTCGATGATGTATTTGACCATGCACATCTGCGATATTACATCACGGAAGCCGGCAGACGGTGATCCTGCGTGATGGGTTTACCCTCCGCGGGAACGGTAGCCGGCGAGGGTCGATGAAGCTGAGGTAGGGGTCAGACAGTCAGATTATTAGCTAGACGTTGGCGACCAACAAGGCTCCCTTCAGCCTCTGTCGCTCTCATTTCGGGTGTCCTTTTCAGACACTAGGAGAGCTGATGACGAATGCTGAAGCCGACCACCGTTCGGTTGTCATATTGCAACTGTTGCCTACCGGAGAAGAATAACGTCGATCTATGCTTATGGCCTCAACTTGTTGGCTGCTGAGCTGGCTGAGGAGAGTTGAAAACAGCCCATTACTGCATTTCGTCTTGCCAATCATTACTGGATCCATCAAAGGGAAGTTTTTCATCCCGTCGGGCCTGCGTCTCGAGAACGGCCGGACCGTCAGATCATATTTGGAAGCCGTACCTCGGGAGGTCGAATCTACTACTAGCATCTCCCAACTGTATTAGTTCATCTCCAAGCTCATAAATAGCTCTTTCGAAGTTTCTTTTGTGCACTAAAGCAATCAGCCATAGCGTTCGTATATGTGGGCCACCATTATTAACAGATGGCGGTAGTGCAGAGGGAGGGAGAATTTGCTGATCGTCCGAGCTGTCACATTGTACTGTTTTGCGCGCTGTCCTATTTTTCGTTGTTTTTCGCGGCCTGTCAACTTCGATTGGCGTTGGGAGGCGACGCCGTCTCTGCGCCCGAGACACGGCGAAATTCTTGGTGGAATTTCAAGGGTTCCCGTTCAGCAGACTAAGTTTCTGTAGATGCAGGAGGGAGGTAGGTAGGCGTGGTAGGTAGTGAATGTTAGGTAATCATCTTGAGCCAAGTTACCGCGTATTTGTAACTGTAGGTATACATTTCTGGCAGGACGGAAAGCGTTGCTTGAGTGCACCCTTTTGATACGCCCGTAGAGTCTATTGGAATAATCTTTTGTTGAATTTAAGTGAAGTAACCCGAGCCTTGTCGGGGACGAGCTCGACATCCTGGATCCTCGCTCTCATCACCATCATCCGTGCGCTGAGACAGCTTCGGTGACCCTCGCACCCCAGCGTTCCGGTGTCTGGGACCAGGGATTTAGGTAGGTATCTAGGTATCTATCTACAACCCTACTGTAGCCAGCTCCCACCTAACTCTACGAAGCATGCACCTCGATTCGATCTCCACCTGAACTACATCTACACCACCCTGACCAGCTGAAGTCAAGTACCTCATCCATCTTCTCCTCACCCTCACCCACTTCTGCTGGCTACTCAGACACCACCGTTGGGAGGGAGATACTTGCAGGCCCAGCTCTCACACGCTTGTAACGCCTGTACCCTTCACCACCACATCTATTCCTCATCCAGCGCAGCCGGCTGCAGTGCCTGGCCACCTCACACCTCACCCTCACTCTCTCTCACGCACACCACACACCCACCGACCTATACGTACATCCGGTATACACACATAACTGAGGTACTTTGCGCGCGCACACACCACAGGCCAGCAGCACGGGGCAGACATTGGATTACGACCAGGACCCTTGCACCCATGCATTCATGCCAATATTCATCGAAAGCTCCAGACCTTTTTCCCTGTCGACTCGCTGCATCCTCCTCCGCCGCCGTCTGAACCGCTCAACCCACACAGTAGCTCTTCTGCGTAGCTGTGCGTGCCTCGCCCTATACGTACATGAAAGAGAGAGAGAGAGAAGCACTCTGAGGGGGGGTTTAACGACCGCTGTTCACCTGTAGTCGTCATCATTATTGTTATCTTCATCATCATAGTCCCCTCAGCACCACCCTCATCAACACTCGAGTTGCATTGCGGTAGCCTGCACACAGCTTTGTGTGTGCCAGATACTTCAGCTCGACAAGGACGAAAGACACAGACAGACGGGCCAGCAAGCTCCATTCGACACAGTCCTTGTCGTCTTTCTAAGGTCGCAACCCAACCTTGAACCCACCACTTCCTCCGGGAGACTAAGGTACCTCACCCTCGTCCTAGCCTTCGGAGGGTAAAGTAGCAAGGCAGGCTCCTAGGCCGTAGCTCCCACATTCGATCGGCAGCTGGTGCCGGATTGCTTTCCGACAATTGTACCTACACGCCTGCTCCAAGTCCAGAACAGCACAGCACATACCAGCACATACCTACCTACCTTACCCAGCCAGCCAGCTAGCTTTTACCTCCCCTTTCCTTGAGAGCCTACCTTACCTCCCAGATCTACCTACCACACGCCCTGGTGCTCGTCCTGGCACCTCTGGCTCCAGGTCGCCCTCTTTGACTCCGCCTGACCTCTCCAATCAGTCGCGGAAGCCAAGGTGGTTCATAGATCCCACCCCCTTGCCCATATCTCCTCCTGCAGCTACATCGTCTCTTCACAGGCAGGGCCGTCCTAGCACCACGACAGGCTGGCCGTTGCGCTCTCCCGCACGTAGTACACTATCTAGCATCTACAGTACGGTTAGCCGCAGTCCACTTGTCTGGGGCGTCCGCAACCGTGTAGGAGGCCTTCAATGGCCCGGATATCCTGCGTTGTCTCCAGGTTGTTTGACCACCGGGACTCCCTGTCACTAACACTGAGCCGTCCCCGGCCGTGAGACTGAGTGGGCACCGTCGTACCTGCCGAACATCGTCCCTCCCCCGCCTACGAAGGGCTAGACAGGCTCGCGTCCAGCTTCCTCGGCTCGTTTCCCTTCTTCATGACGTTGGAGAGTAACCGCCAGCCCCGTGAATCTGATTTGGGACAGAGCCAGACGGCTCCTCGACGACGGACAGCCAGCACGTCGCAAGCAACGTCGCCTACTCGCTCTCCCCCTGCGACTGCCTCTACGTCTGCAACTGCTCCGCCTGTTCCTACTCCTGCTCAGCAGGGCACGCACTCGTCGTCGTCCTCTTCTGACGATACCGCCAGGCAAGTCAAACAGCTTGTAGGCGAATGGAGCCCTGAGATTAGTCGCTATGGTCTGACCTCCTCCACGACCGTCCGCGACCACCGGATCGCTGGTTTTACGAATAGTCATATTGCTCGCTTCGCAACACCATCCAAACCACAACACAACTCGCCCGAAAGCGCCTCACCGAGTAGACCAAATCCTCTTCACGGGAAGCGACCATCAGACGAGGACGTTGCCGCTGATCTCAAGCCTCCCTCTCCTGTTAAAAAGGCCCGCCTTAACCCACCAGGTACTCTACGCCTTCCTTGGCCTTCACAGCCCACCCATTCCCTTGTCCCCGGGGGAGTTACTTCACCTTTATTCTTCTCCAACTCAAATCAACACATGACAGGACGACCACCTAGCTTCTCCTCGTCGGAGGCGGCGGCAGCCATGCTGGCCCGGATGCGCGATGACCAGGAGGCCGTGACCACGGTCAAGCTCCCTAGGGGTACTGTGAGTTCTGCAAGCCCCGCGAGATCTGCAAGTACACCGAATAGCTGGGGCTCCATCGATGCAGCGACCTCGCGCAGTCCTGATAATCGAGCATTACCACCACAATTACAACAGCTTCAGGGGGTGGGAGTGGTAGAACTAATAGAACAGGATGAGCGACCGACATTCATCGTTGATTTGGCAAACCCGGCCAACTTCAACCCCGGACCACTCCATTTGTTGTTCTGCAATGCGTCATTACGCGCATCAGAGCGATTCCATGGTTTGCTGTCGGTTGATACAGAGGACCCCGATTTTTCCAGGTTCAAGGCCTGGGTACTCAGTTTCGTCAAAGGCAATGAGTCTATGGATGTCTGTCTGCCTTCGTTCTCATACGGCGGCGTCAGTTGGACATGTTTAACGATAAGGAAGCGTTACCGCTTTGTGAGCGGGAACACTGCGGCCGTTTCCATGACTCCAACGTCTCCGAGTCCCATGGCGACTGCCTCGTCTGTCCTTGATGAGCGTGCAGCTAGGCCAACATCCTCACGAGGACCGTATAGCCCCCGAGAGCGCGAGCGCTCACACAGCGATGTAGACTATTTCGGCGATGTCGAGCGAAGCTCCAGTCGCCGAGCACATTCCGAACCGAGGGACCTCAGCGAGATTCGGCCGGATGAAGACCTCATTCCGGACGACGATGACGATGACGACGATATTTCGATGGATCTTGAAAGGACGTCATTCGACTGGACGAGAATCCCGATAAGTTCGGACCTTCCATCCCACATACAGTTTGCCCGATCCATAGACTGGGCATCAACACCGTTAGGGCCGATCGAACAATGGCCAGCGGACCTCCGTACCATGTCAAATATGATCATGGGCAGTCCTCACGCTGCGGCCATATATTGGGGTCCTGAGTATATTGCCATCTACAACGAAGCTTACATCATGCTTGCCGGACAAAAGCATCCGGGCTTCATGGGCTTAAGCTACACAGTTGCGTGGGCAGAGATCTGGGATGACATTAAGCCGGTTTTCGATAATGCTTGGAACTCAGGCCAGGCTACAATGAAGCATGACGATAAGCTTTTCATTATCCGAAATGGATTTCTAGAAGAGACCTTCTTCAATTGGTCCATTGTCCCGTTAGTTGGTGGTGATGGAAATGTTGTGGCCATCTACAATCCTGCGTTCGAAAACACGAAACGAAAAGTTAACGAGAGACGAATGTTCACGCTCCGCGAAGTTGGCGAAAAGACAGCAATGGCGCGAGACGTAAAGAGCTTCTGGGGGCAGGTAAAGAAAGGGCTAGAGTACAATGAGTTTGACATCCCCTTCGCTCTTGTCTATTCTGTTGGCGAGGAGTCAGACAGTGAAGTGTCATCGATGCACTCTGGAAGTCTGTCCAATCCTCCTCAGATCGTGTTGGAGGGCTCTATAGGTGTACCGCCCAATCACCATGCCGCGGTGCCCCTTCTGGATTTACGAACTAGCAATGAAGGATTTGCAACCTATATGAGAGACTCGATGGCTCAGACGGCCACACCCATTGTGTTAAGCAAAGAAAAGGGCACTTTACCTGCAGCTTTGGTCGAAGGTCTCGAATGGCGAGGATATGGCGACCCTTGTCGTACAGTTGTTGTTTTCCCGGTCCACCCTACTACTGCAGGAGAAAGTGTCGTGGGCTTCATTGTCATGGGAACAAATCCTCGACGCCCATACAACGATGATTACAAATTATTTATACACCTATTATCACGCCAGCTTGCCACCTCGATGGCTTCCGTTGTTCTGTTCGAGGAAGAGATCAAGAGGGGCCAACGAGCTGCCAAACTGGCTGCATTAGATCGTCAGGAGCTTTCTATGCAGCTCCGCTTGCGGACACAAGAAGCCGTAGAGAGCGAGTACAAGTTTACACGGATGGCTGAGTTCGTTCCGGTTGGAATGTTTATTGCCAACCACGAAGGCTTGATCAACTTCTGCAACGACTCGTGGTGGGAGCTCTCCCGCCATCCTAGATCAGCGGATAGCGTCGATGCTTGGATGCAAAGCATTCGAGACGAAGACAGGCCAGGAGTCGAAGCCGCCTGGACAAAATTGATCACCGAGCGAATAGCTGTAACGCACGAGTTCAGGTTCAAATGCTCTCGGGAAGCCGACGGGCACGCCATTGATACCTGGGTCCTCATGAGTGCCTATCCTGAAAGGGACGCAGATGGCGGTCTGAAAAGCATTTTCGGATGTTTGACCGACATTTCACAACAAAAATGGGCAGAAGTCTTCCAGAAACAACGGCGGGAGGAGGCTGTTGAACTCAAACGCCAGCAAGAGAACTTCATTGATATCACTAGTCATGAGATGCGCAATCCCCTCAGTGCCATTTTGCAGTGCGCTGATGAGATCATCAATGGTGTCACCAATTATCGAACAGAGGATCCTTCATCCTATGTTCCGGGTAATCTGAATGTTCTACTGGACAGTGCTCTCGAGGCTGCAAATACAATCTCACTGTGTGCTAGTCATCAGAAGAGGATTGTCGATGATATTCTCACGCTCTCAAAGCTAGACTCTCAGCTTCTGTATGTTACCCCTGTCGATGTACAGCCTGTAGCGGTGATAGAGACAGTTCTGAAAATGTTTGAATCGGAGTTGAACAGCAACAGCATTCGAGGAGAGTTTAGGATTGATCCATCTTTCCAAGAGCTGAATATCAACTGGGCCAAGCTTGACCCGTCACGCCTGCGGCAGGTCCTCATCAACCTAATGACCAACGCTATAAAATTTACTCAGAGTCGGGAAAATCGGTCCATTGTTATTACTCTAGGCGCCTCACGGAGAATATCTGAAGCTTCAGTAGCTGGCCTTTCGTACTTTCCAACGCGTCAGGATTCTGAAGACATAACAAATAAGCCTGAATGGGGCCAAGGAGAGAAGATCAATCTCCATGTTGCTGTCACTGACACGGGTCCCGGCCTTGATGAGAACGAGAGGGTAATCCTTTTCCAACGATTCTCGCAAGCTTCTCCTCGTACGCATGTCCAGTACGGAGGCTCAGGTCTTGGTCTGTTCATATCCCGTATCCTTACGGAGCTTCAGGGTGGGCAAATCGGCGTTCAATCTGAAAAAGGCGTCGGCAGTACATTCGCCTTCTATATCAAGAGCCGGAAAGTCGAGCTACCGCAACTATCTCCTACCACTATAGTACCACCGCCAGTGAGTCCTTACAAGATAACGGCAACACAGACTCTCCAGTACACAACTAGCAGGTCAGGCAGCGATGCAGCGTCGCCGCAACTGTCACAGCGTAAAAACAGCCAAAATGTCTCGCCTATATCGGCCCGTGATCCCCATGCTCCGCCACCCCTGGACGTGCTCATTGTTGAGGACAACATTGTCAACCAGACCGTACTACAGCGGCAGCTACGCAAATCAGGAAACAATACGTATGTAGCGAACCACGGTGGCGAGGCACTTGAGGCAATTCGTCGATCGCGATTCTGGAGTTCACCAACGGCTCTGACTCGCTCTCGCCGCTCTCATAGCCCTGGTAGCTCCAAGGCATCAGCATCTGACTCTGGGTCCGGAGAGAGCGAGAGCGAGAAGAACACCGAGAACATCAATATCTCTGTGATCCTCATGGATCTGGAGATGCCCGTCATGGACGGCATGACGTGTGCTCGCAAGATTCGACAACTCGAGAGAGCCGGCACCATTAATCGTCACATCCCTATCATTGCTGTAACGGCATACGCTCGGCCTGAGCAAATTGAGAACGCAAAGGCCGCCGGTGTTGTAAGTGGATTGATGCTTCCAAGTATTGGCTCTGAAATTTTTTGCTAACCGACTACGCCTTATAGGACGATGTCATCTCGAAACCGTTCCGTATTCCGGAGTTGATACCGAAGATTGAGGAGCTCGTAGCGAAATACCAAACCCACACTATCTCGCCGTGAGGATGCCACATACCTATCTATACAAATCGATTCTCGAAATTTCCTTCATAGAGACAATCATGAATACCGGTAGCTGAGACGCGAGTCTTAGTCTTCGAGGCAACTCAGCTGCTGGTCTACACACTACACACCTCGCATCTTCATTCTCTAATTTTATGATCCGCTGGCGCGGCGTTTGGGCAAGGCGTTTATCAAGACAGAAAGACGGGAAAGGGAAAAAAGAAAGAAGCGTCGAGATTTCCCTCTGGTTTGCATTCCATGGAGGCCGCATTGTTTCGACTGCTGCTCCTCCACCCACGGACACTGGCGGCTTGCGCTTGGGACATGCCCTATTTATTTTCGGGGGCAGATGACTCTTCCATATTAGTGTTAATAGTATCTTACCAGCACAGGTTTCCCTCCATATCATCTGGCTGGGCTTGCCCCCGGCCAATTCTGGACACGGGAGAGGGTATTCGGCTGGGAAAGGGCCAGGTCCAGGGATAGGCATAGGGTAGAGAAAGGGTGGCCTTGGGGCTTGGATATAGGTACACCGCAATAGCGGTGGTGCCCGGGTAATCGCCGCGATGGCAGTTATGCGGCTACTACTTTCTTTTTTTAATCCCGAATCAAAGCAAGCAAGCAAGCAAGCATTGTAAGGAGGGCAAGGCAAACTCTAGAGGCAGAGGATTGTCGGCCTCCGGGCAGAATGAGCGAATGAATGAATAGAACTATCAGTCACCATGCACACCCTCGAGTACCAATATGAACTTGAGAGAATTATAGGTGAAGGTCAACCCCAGAAATGCCAACTCAGCCGTTTGTGTTGTTAAGTTTCTATACTTGTATTACAATGCCTGTAGCCATGAGCGATAACCAAGGAAGCTCAGAGTAGGTTCCTTGAAATGCAAGCTAGTAAGACAAGCCTACGAGGTGGCGCGGTGAGGTCATGAGGCTCTGTGAGACGAGGTTGTCTAGCAGCACGTGACAACCGTCATTCACTATCAACGCACATTTATCTCAGATATGGGCACGTAATTATGATCACTGGAGAAATCGGAGGGACAAATTATGTAGCGGAAGCTCAAACACGCAAGAGGTTATTATTAGCTATTACTAAGGGAACGAATGCACCGGTCTTCCTCCCGGATCCAGCCCTATGTGACCAGCTAGGAGAAAAGACCGGGCAATTCAACCCAATCGACACCATCCTTCTCCCTTCCACTGACTCAACCAACAACTTTTTTTTTGTATGATTTTTATCAGGCTATTTTCTTTCCATCGCCGAACGACTGTTTTGGGTATACTGGGTATCAAAGACATGATAAGCTGCAAAGCAGATGGATATTTTGCGAGTACTAGAGAAAAAAAGAAAACAAAACACAATGATAGGACGGGGATAAAATTGCGGAAGAGCCCGGTATCTCGCTCAAGAGAAACCAAAGGGACAAATCCGTACGGCAGGGTATCTCGACATGCAAATCCGATCCCATAAACCCAAGGAGTGGTATCTTTGTTGAGTGCGCTCAAGCGTCGTCATCGACTTCCTCTATGCTTTCATGATAATTTCATTGTTTGATGTGTATAGTGTATTCGCTTGCCGACTTATTTAAGCAGCAGCGGTAACGGCAGGAGTGCTCTGCAGAGGGGTGTCGGCAGGCTTGCTCTCCTCCTCAATGGGGGCGGCAGCGGGAGCAGCAGGGACCTCAGGCTCCTCCTTCTTGGCCTCGGGCTCCTCGGTGGCCTCAGCGGGCTTCTCCTCAGTCTTCTCAGCGGGCTTCTCGGTCTTGGCCTTGCCCTTGATGGTAGCACGGAACTTGCTGAAGGGCGAAGGAGACTTGGGCTTGGGCTCGCTGGCCTCACCCTCCTCAGCCGGAGCAGCGGCGGCCTTCTTGCCAAAGATGGCAGGCAGAGATGACTTCCTCTTGTCAGACTTGACCTCCTTCTTGGTCTCGCCGTTGGTGGCGGGTGGGACCTCGACGGTCTCGGTCGGAACAGTGGCGGGGCTGGACACTTCGGCGCTCAGGTCACCCGCGGGCTCGGGAGCCGGAATAACGGGAGCGGTCTCAGCAACGGGCTCCTCAGCCTCCTTAGCCTTGGGGGCAGGCTCCTCGTGCTTCTTCTTGCCGAAAGACAGGTTGCCGAAGATGCTGTTGCGCTTGGAGGGCGCAGGCTTCTCAACCGGCTTGGCCTCCTCAACCTTGGGTGCCTCCTCGGTAGCAGGGGCGGCGGCCTCAGCCTCGACAGGGGCAGCTGGGACCTCAGGCTCCTTAGGAGTCTCCTCAGCAGCAGGGGCAGCATCAACAGAAGCTTCACCCTCGGCGGGGGTCTCGGCAACGGGGGCCTCGGCTTCCTTCTTCTCTTCCTTCTTCTCCTCCTTCTTGCCCAGGAGGTTGCCGAAGATGGAACCTCGCTTGCGGCTTGCAGAGCGGCGCTTGGGCTCCTCCTCCTTCTTTGGCTCCTCCTTAGCAGCCTCAACAGGGGCCTCAGGCTCCTTGGGCGTCTCCTCAACAGGGGCAACGGCAGCAGCCTCGGTGGCGGGGGGAGGCGCCGGAGCCTCCTCACTCTTCTTGGGGGCAGGAGGAGCAGGCTTGAAAGATGCCAGGGTGGTCTTGTAGGTCTCAGACTCAGTCACAGTGGTGGCAAGCTCCTTGGCCTCGGTGATCTTGGTCTTCAGCTGAGCAACCCAGTTGTCACGCTCGGCGGCGGTGGGAGCCTTGAACGTGTGCTTGTGGCCCTTGGCGGTGAAGTGGAACTTGTTGGAGCCCTCAGAGACGGGCTCAGCAGCCTCAGCAAGAGGGATAGCACCATGGGGGGCAGACTTGTCGGCAGACTTCTCGCTGAAGAACAGGAGACCCTGGCCAGTCTGGGAAGCCCAGGCAGCAAGAGCGTGGTCCTTCAGGAGGGCGGGGACGGACTTGGGGTCGATGGCATCAGCACCGAACCAGAAGTACTTCTTGGAGTAGATGAAGTTCCTTCGATCCCATTAGCATTCATTGTCCAGATTTCCTTGTAATTGAATTGTAGCTCACTTGGGAAAGTTGGATCCCTTGTGCTCAAGGTGGCCATCCTCGACAGGAGTGGGCTCCTCCTTCTTGGCCTCCTCAGCAGGGGCAGCCTCGGTAGCAGCGGCAGGCTCGTCAGCGGTGGTGGCGGCAGCCTCTGTATGAGCTGTGAGCATGTATGCAAATATCATGACGAATATATTGTAGTCACGTACCAGTGGCGGGAGCAGTGCTCTCCTCCTTGGGGGGCTCCTCGACGGGGGCAGCGACGGTAGCAACGGTAGGATCAGCTATAGCAGGTGACGGTCAGCTGAGATCTAGACGTGTCGGTTCTCTGTTCGTAGCCAGGGACCACATACCAACAGGCTCCTCCTTGGGGACCTCGACGGGCTTCTGTTCCTCGGCCATTGTGAATGATGTGTTTGGTTGAAAGAAAAAGGGTATTGGGTATCACAAAAAAGTCAAGCGAGAAAAAACAGAGAAATATAAGATGAAGCGGATAGACAAGAAGGTCTGTATAGCTTTGGATATTACTTCTTTCTTTGGGGGAGGTAGGTCACGAGATGCCCTGGTGAGGTTTTGTTCGGGGAGAACACAGAAAGGTTCCCGGTGGATGGAAGCTGGTAGAAATATATGGGAAGGAGGGAGGGAGGGAAAGAAAGGAGACGGGGCAATGGGCTGTTGGGGGCTACTTATTTGTTTCGCACGGGCAAGGTACGGTAGGTACGGTAGGCACGGTAGTGAGGTAGGGAACGGTACAAATGAGCAAGTACCTCGATACTGTACCTTACGGTGCCAGTACCGGTTGAATAAATAAATCATGAATGAGAGCGAGCGTGAGAAGAGAGTGGTGGTCGGTGTACCGTACATAGGTACCCCCTAGGACCGTCACACTCACCGTATGCAGGACTGACGGACTGACAGGGTATGGGCCGTATGGCAGAGCAAAGCAGAGCGACCGCTGGGGCAACCTGAAGCTTGGGATGGGCATGAGTGGATGAGGTGGGTGTGGTAAGTAGGTCGTAACGGTGGTGCTGGTGGATGGATGGGCCTTCACGGGGATGCGCTTCATGGGTCGGGGTCAGGGTCATAACCATGCTTGCCGTTCATGTTCCATGCAGCGAACCTACTGCGCAGTCAAGTACTTGACCTGACGGTCCTGGCCTCCTTGCATATGCCTCAGATACTTGCATCTCAATACGGAGCAATACCGGAGATGAATGAACGTCTATCATTTCTCCCCTCTGCTAGTAAACGGAGGGAAACCTCGATTTTAGCTTCAGGTGCTTTCTTTGTTTTCCATCCATCCTGCGCTCGGTAGCGCCTTCCCCAACTGACAGGAAAGTACATTCACAAGCTTTCACCATTAGATACCTATAGAGCAGAGAGAGCATCTAGCCGCGAGCAATGTCTCGCCTCCTACTTCGTGATCTCTGGTCTAATGATGACCTGTGTCTGCCTGCCTACCCACTCACCACCAGCAGCTTTTCACGCCGTGTCTCGGAACAGCCTGACCAGGCGTGCTGGCTGGCTTGCCATGCGAAACGGTCGAAATGACATAGGAAAAAAAGCTGGGTCCGCCTAGGAGCTTGGATTGCTGTTGCTGGGGTTATTGGCCTACTGCATAGTGGGTGGTGCTGGTCTGTGCTTGGATCAAGCGAATCGACGAAATTACACGACGTCCTGGCAAGGCAGGGATGCGCCCTGCAGCTGCCGGGGTCCTATTTGCTAATATGAGCTCCCCATGGCCAATGCTTTTCCTGTGCGCTAACAAAACGGATGCAGCATGCTCAGAGCTCAGAGCTTCGGGATCCCAGCTGCCACCTGCACATGCACCTCAAGATCATAAGTTTGGGCCTCTTCGTGTTGCTCTCCATCTTTGCCTGCGCTCTTTGTGCTGACTCTGATCAAGGACTTGCGATGCAATCAAATATCCAGAGAAGACGACAGCACGAGTTTACCTGCGCAATGGGCTTATCGGAGGATAGCTTCTAAAATAGAAATAGATGCGCGGCGCGCATATCATTCCATTCCACCCTGCAAAAGCCATGCCATGCCATGCCATGCCAGACAAAACCATGCGTGGGGCGCATTCTGATGCAAAGAGAAACTCGGCATGTCAAAAAAAGTCCACTCTCTCCTGCAACGTCAATCAAGGCCGAGTCGGAAGAAACGGGCTAAGAGGGGATACCTCAATGCAAAGTACCGGCATGCTGCTAAAAGTGAAGTCCTGCAGCAGACTCCTAGCTGCATCCGCCGCAGGTTTTTTTAATTCCTTTTCTTACACTACTGACCTCACCCAGAGACAACGGCACTACTAACGCAGCCTTGGGATGCACCAGAGGTCAGAGATTCGCACAATCGGGAAAAGCATCGCAAGAATCGTGACGGAGTTGTATGCCGCCTTGGGCGGAAGTCGCTGAGCCTGCAAGACAACGACGGGACCCTGTATCGTATCATGGCCGTCTCTACCGTACCCATACAGCGTCTACTAGCTAGCCAGTCTTTCAGTCTATCTACCTCATCCAGTCTTTAATCCTCCTCGTGGCCCACACACCTCTCGCGCGCTGCCTATCTCGAAAATTGGCTTGTGGTGGTTTTGGGCGGACGGGCTAACGTAGAAATGCGCCAGCTGCAGCTTTGTAGGCGCCATGTGACTTTGATCGAGTGTGCTAATTTATTGTGGATTTTGCGTGTCGATCCGGTCATCTTCTCATCAAACCGCATCAAATCATGAACGGGCGGCATCGCATCAGTCAGACCATCACCACCGGCTAGCTGAGGGGGGTGCAAGGTCCCTCTCACCTACCTGACCGCCTCCTACTGTACGGTACTTCCTCTCACACTTCTCTACTGATGAATAACGGTGAGCCTGGTCTGTGACTACCGTATTCGGGGTTCAATTTAACCAAGGTATCAGGGACTGAACAGGGAACAAGAGGCGACATTGGACGATGACAAGGCACGGCCACTACAAACGGCGGCCGTTGCATCGTTCAGGAGTCATGATCTCCTTCCAGGTTCCTCCTCCAGTTGTCCTGTCGCGCCCAATACCCACCGGCCACCGTATTCGCCCCTATTATTATTTACGTTTGCCCTTCCCATCATGCAAAAAAAAACTGGCCCATTCCATTTCGCGACAGCAACCTCGAGCAGAAATTGGTTCCGCGCTGAGAGGCAATCAATCAGAGGCCCACTCAGGCTGTTCTGCTAACCCCATCAGGCTGGGCCAGGGTCAGGGTCCGATCCCTAGGACCTTGACATTTTGTTAGACCTGTTAGATTACGGACGCTACCCGCCTCCACCTCTGCGTCCGGCTCGTACGCTATTGTGACGACCACCGTGTGCGCCTGGCTGGTTGCGTTTACATTGGTAGGTGGGCTGCATAATAAACGGATCGTGAGAAGGCTCTGAGAGCAGCATTCAATCAATGCGCTGCCAGCAGTACAGACATGTCTGTGATGAGGGAGGAGGATCGGTTCTGCAACTCCTCAGGGGCTCTGGCTGTTGAAGACCCAATAGAGGGCCACAATCTTTGTTGAGCTATCAGCGCTTGCGCCTAGAACAGGAGGAATGAATTCCAGGTTATCGTTCTAGGCCATCAATCTCCTACAACGGCGTTTCTCAAAGGCATGCAAGCAAGACGGCCACCTGCACGGACGGTCACAAGCCGGTTGGTTTGTGCTCCGTCCCAGCCCTAGTTATAGATGGATGCAGCAAGGCTTAACAGTGCTCGTGTGCCCGAGTCAGTCAGCGTCAAAGCCTCGCGCCCTCTACTACTTTAACCACTACAAGGTCGTCAAACCCCTTCAGACCATTGGAAACTATATGCAAGGCCGACTCCAGAGGCTACATCTAGCACATTCAGTCGAGGCGCTGTACCTGACGAACACGGCCAGATGCGTTGTGCCTGGAAAACGCCTCCCGAGAAACGCCCTATGCTGCCATGACACGGAGACTGACATATTCTTTTGCTGCACTTCTTTTCTTCTTCCGAATGCAAGCCGAACATGATGCTTCTTACCGTGTATCAGGAAATGCAGCCACCAAAACTCACGGAGCCCATTTGTACTCGTGCTGCATAGAAGCAATATGTTCGCCCCTTTGAGGTCGTATTCTCGCCGTCATGAAAGGCTTTCCCTTCACCAAACCTCGAGAGCGCTTAGGGCACTCTGCCGAAACAGGGTAGCTCTAATACGTCCCTACTTTTCGCCATCTGCAACCCCCCTTGCTCCACTGCCGTATTAGCGAACCGTGAATCAGGCCATGGGAACGCCTGGTTGTCTATTTGCATCGGCAACATTCATCTTCAAGATCTGCCTTTTTAGCCAGAGCTGTAGGTTTGGATCTTGTTACTTGGTCTCTTCCCTGTAAACGACACAGCCTTCTTCGCCCGTCCTTAGCAGGACTTGGCCTCTTCTCTTTGTCCCTTGGAGTCCGATGACGCCGATGACGCCTGAAAGCACGAACAAGCGATTCTCGCCAGCTGCGCACCTCGTGAGCTGCCCTGCACTGCTAACGTCCGTCCCGAACAGGCCCCTCGAGCCGCCGGGAGCTTCCACAGCGGCGTGATTGGCAGAACGACACCGTCACAACCGTCGAAACCGTCAGACCCGACAGGCTACATGCTCGCTGCGATTTGTCTAGATCCTGCTTTTCTCGTGGGAGGGAGGTACAAGCGACCGAGTACTGTACAGCGCATACAAGTACCAGCGCATCTGTCAAAGGTAGACAACCTACTTCCTTACACAACGCCGCCCAGCACACCTCTACGACTTGGTAGGTAGAGCTCTCCACACACGCATGGCACCTCGTGCGCAGCCCGATGCGATCAGATGCGCGCATGATTCCCTGGTGGGCAGCAGCAAAGCGAGCTAGCTACGTATGAGGTACCCTATTGTGGTGAGACTGGCTGTTTGGAATGCCGCCTCTAGCCTTGGCTCCCTGTGTCATCCTTGGTCGGTTTGACAACTACTAAGAAGGCGTGGCCCACGTCCACCCCACTCACCACTCAGCCTTTCCAGACGATGGCTGTCGACTCCGTCAAGCGCGCCGACATGGCCGCCGTGATTGGCATACTCGCTGAAATTTGACCGTTCCTTTCCCATAATCTCTGAGCAAGTCAGCCGTTACCGTCTCCGTCCCAAGCACTTGCTTTGCAAAACATAAATTTGCCTATATTCAGAAGCGCGGTTTCAATAGGAGCTGGCCGGGCAATCATACGTAGATCATCGGAGACTTAAACGCGGTAGTGTTTGCGGTGCCTGCTTCTTCGATGAAATCCCCATCCCAAGCCCAGGTAAGCATCAGCAAGATAAAGGAAGCATTATATACCCTCTCTCACAGCCCCATTCACCCCTCTATGCCGTGTCGTTCTAGACAATGCAATAGCATCGGGAGTTATGGTTCTTACGGATCTTGTGCGAGCAGCTGTTGCCTTCCCGCTCCCTCCTCGACTTGTACGTGCGCCGGCTTAGATAGATGTCCGCGATATTCCTTGGTGATCTCCGCTGAGTGAGTCCCTACCTCCCCATCTTGAAATGACATCCGTGCTCTGAAACGATCTCTCGTACTTCACCATATAGGGCTAGCTGATGAAGAACTTTTTTACTCCTTTCGTTGTCGAGACGCCGTCGTACATGCAAGACTGCGGTGAAACTTTTTTTTCTTCATTCCACCATCCCACCTATTACTTGAGAAGCCCCGAACAAAAAAAGTCCTGTGTGGCGCGCAGACCCACGAACGAACTTACTAAACTAGCACTGTGGCATCATGGGTCTCCCGGCGGGCGGCCTGTGGGCGGCTACCGAATTACATTATCCAAACGTTAGCCTTGGCCATTGGACGGGCCGCCAGAACGGGCTGACGAGCTAATAGATTTGATATCTGGATGGATTGGCCGTCATGCGTCACGGCATCGACCGAGGATGTGAAATGCTCTACAGCTCGTAGATGGAGGCTGAGTTCGAGACTTGTCTGCCCTGACACACAATGTAAATTTGTTGGGCGGCTTACTGGCGATGATCCTCACTTGATCTCAGCAATGCCTTGACATCAGGGGTTCATGGGACGAGGTAGGCAACGCCCTCACTGGGCCGGACCACCCCTTGAGATGCGAACCCCTGGACTGCTTTTGCTGGCTGGCTGCTTCCGCTGCAAGGGTTACTTGCAGACACATCTCTTGCATGGGCTCACTTTAAATACAACAGCTTATTCTCGCCCGGGGCGCATTCCCGCGCATATCGCATTGCAGTCCACTTGTGACCTTTGCCCATCTTTTTCCTATTTGACTTTTCGCCTCCAGATTTCCATGAGCCCCTCCATCCCATCACGAGGGGGGAAAACAGACTCCCGATCTCCCTCCTGCTCCCCCTCCTTTGCCCCTCCCTCCACCGCCCAGCTCCGCCCGTACCCGATACGCGGAGCGGTGTTGGCTGGCGATGGAGATCCAAGGTCGGTGGTGGATTGGTTCGCCTGGGCGGACTCGATAGGAGGATGCTCGCACATTCGCCCAAAAGTCTATTCGTGACCGCTCTTTTCGCAAGGTGCGCCCGTCTGATCCTGCCTGCCGCTTAGAGCAGCCCCTATCTCCATCTGCTGGGCAGGTCAGTCACTTGTTTGCTAGGGAGCTGATGATTTTCCTCAGGTAACGATCATGCAAGCTGTCTCGCTCATCCCCACTCGCACTACATGCATGCAGCAGCAGTAGCAGCAGCAGAAGTGGTCATGTACAGTATTGCATCATCTTGCTCTATCTTCTTTTCTATTGCGCTTGCTCGTATATAGCCAGAACTCACGTCCTGCTGGACAGTGATGCAGATATATTAACCCCCCTACAGGAGCGACGTGGGCCGGCAGGCGCAACGCTTGTTGTTACTTATCAGAGACAGGTTGCTCGGCCGGATGATGTAGCTCTGCAGCGGTGGGACAGCGACTCGATGTCTGTTATATTGAGGGCGTAGCATGGCGCTAGCGGTTAGGGGGGCGACGGAGACATAATACAGACGGCGATATGTGCCATCTGCACTCCAACGGCTCGATCCAGTGTCACCACCACATCCTACGCACTACTTTACAGATGTGCGGGGCAGCCCATCAAGGTAAGCTGTGGGATGTGGTTCCGCCGTTGAGAAAAAAGGAAGTGCAAGCAGACCAGACCTACCCAGCTAGCCAGCCAGGAAAGGCCATGCAGGTGGTGCAATACCGTACCGTACTTCGTATGCACGATCAAGTCATTCGTCGCCGGCCGCTTGCCAATGGGAGCCGATCGCGTTATCTAGACTGGTCCTAGGTAAGGTCGGCAGGTTCGACAAATCACTCCCTGGATGTGTAAGTGGCCCCTCTCGTCGCATGTGCATCCTGCTTTCAGTTTTTTAGACTTTCGCAATACTGCGAGGGAAACCTCGGAAGCAAACCGGTAGGTTAGCTTGTTGAGTGGGATCGTCTTTCCTGTGCAACCGTTCTCGGTCAGCAGCAGATCCTCTTGGTCGTCGAGGCAAGGTAAGGTACTGTACTATACATATGCTTAGGGGCAGCATGTGGCCATGTGAGCACCTGCCGAGCAGAGGGTGGTTATCTCAAGCTCCTTATAGGAAATTCGAGGAGATGGAGACAGACTCCAAGCCGTCTCGCCGCCAGTGCTGGGTATGGAGTTATTAAAGCATCGTTTGCCGCTGCGTCTCCTACATTTTTGAGCTGGAGCACCAAGTAGATCGACTATTCTATCGTCTCACAAAAAGTCTTTACATTTCTCTTGACAACACTCGGGGCCGTTGTGTCTCGGGGTAAGCTCTTTCGGCCGACTTTCGCCCTGTTGCATCTGATTGGAGGATGGTTTAACGGGGTGTCTCAACGTCGACCCAGAATCACGGAGACAGCTTGAGGGTTGAGGATATCGTGTTTCCTTGGAAAATAGAACAAGTAGGTTTCTCTGATCATAGAAGGAAGTTGTCGTATGATTTGTGGTTGTCAATATTGAATTCGACTTTGTTGTCAAGATTGTATGCAAGTCACAACTACTAAGACTACAAGACACTGCACATGTTCTTTGTTTTATCACTGCACTCTTTCCCCTTAGAATCTCGCTTTGAATGATATATGTACAATGGGTGCCTATTTCCGTGTCGTCTGATTTAAATTTGTTGTCGAGCGCCGTGATTTGCCGCACAGTGTTGTGAAGCTGGCTCGAAACTTGCCTCCCACCAACCCGTGACAGCCTTTCAAACCTGCTCTGGAGCTTCATAAACTCATCTTGACACATTTTAGTCTCAATTAGATATTTTTTCAGTTGTGAGAACAGTTGTAGGTAAACAAGACCTCGTCCTGCTGCGTCAAGGTGTGCCTGGTCCAGCCGTTGCGTCTTAGGCATCGACTTACACCTGCCTCCATTTCTTCCTGAACTCTCCTCTCCTCTCGATTCATGAGTCACAGAGTAACTGCAATTGAAAGAGGAGTCACTCTTATTTCGAACAACAGAGATCAGACGCGTTCGTACAAGAGCGAGCCTTCATCTGTTGTCCCCTTTACCACCCTATTTCGCAGAACTACTTAAACCCAACCTTCCGCCTCTCCTCTTTTCTTCTCCTTCTTCCTCCCTACATCCTCACTCATACCTTTCCTCCTTTACCATATTACCCCATTGACCTTGATTCACTCAGCCAATACCTAAGCATAGCCCTCTCTAGCTCGGGAGGTTTCCTCTGAGCCACCCGTGCCCCCTGGATCTGCTCGACAGGTCTTCATTAGTGATCAATTTCTTCCCCAGACCTCCTCCGAGCTTAACACTTACCTCCTTTCCACTGACTTTCGCCTTTATGACGAAATCCACCCCTCAATTCTTTACCTGAGTTGTCTAACTTTACGATTTCAGAAAACTTACCCAATCTCCCCCAAGCATCAGCGTCAAACTACGAATGACCGTTCTACGAACCTAACCTTTCCAGTATCTAACCTTTGCGCCCATTTGTTAGACCAGTTCTCATAGAACGTCAATAATTCTACATCTCCGTCTCAACGGTATTCGTATTACCTGTAAGTTTGATCCCCTTCTGTTTCCTGCATAAAACTACGGTGTCATGTCGTGGTCGCCTTTACTGTACATGCCGGTGAGACTTTTTTAACACCACCAACTGGTTGGTTGCCTACATTACATCTCGGCATTCTATCCTCCCTGCTCTCATTTACCTCAAACCCCTAAAACGTGAACTCCTTCCATATGAGCACCAAGAACTTCACTTGTGCATCGTTGCATGACATTGCCACAGATCTTCATGACACTCACCCCATAATCCTCCTTCTCCGCTCCTTACCCGTCTATCCCAAGAACAACGCTTTACATCAGAAAGTTACTCTTGCTCAGCCTTCGTCTATTCATCCAGTCCTGAGCGCACCCTTCATTCATCTCAGTCCTTTGCGCCTGCAAGTTTTGCTTTTTGCTTAGCATTTCTGGCTGTTGCGTCCCGACTTATACCGTACTTACCAGATTCAGAGCTTTCCTCCATCCCTCCTTCCTCAACTCTTGCACCGTAAACCTTAAATCAACGACCATCCTTACAAAATGGCCAATTCAGGACTGAAAGGTCGCGACGGCGCCAAGACCTCTATCACTCCTCACCCGGGCTTAGAGCTACCGGATGGCTATGTGAAGCCCAAATCTGCTGGGAAACAGAACAAGCGTAGGAAGAAGAAGAAGATTAACACAGGCTCTGTACAGAACCAGCAGGCCACGAACGTGGCTGCCTCGCGTACTACCAACCAGGGCAAAGTGCGTTTAGGGTAATTTTCTTGTAGCACCAAACTATTTGCTGACCGGTTCGTTGTAGAACACCATTTCTGCCCCAACATATCTTCGTCCGATCATGGCACCCATCAAAGCCAACCCGGCTGATAACAAAGCCAAGAACCAGAAAGTCTCGCAGCGAGATGAACTCATCTTCGGAAAGTTGAGTGGCCCTGTCCGTTTCATTGAGGATGACACGAGCGACATTTGTATCTGCGACCCAAGAATCGGTTTCAACAAAGCTCAATACGACCTCGCTCGCGCGAAGAAGTATAAGCCTGAGATGCTGATTGCCATCAAGGAAGATGTCAAGATCCCAGCCAAGCGAGAGAGACCTAACAGCCCTAAGTATTGGCTTCTGCAGGACTTGCCGCAGACGATCTGTGATGAGTTCCCAGATGGGTACGCTCCGAAGACTCATGAGGAAGCTCGGGCCGTTCTCAAGCACTTTCCACATGTCATGTTGACCACCAGAGTGCGTATACCTCCCGCTACCGTGTCGATTTGCACTAACGAGGTAAGGCACCGCTGTCAAGCTGGGGCGCTCAAATTTTCGCCTCCAAGCCCAACATTGATGCCCCGAAGAATACATTCCTTCGCGTCCTCAGACAAGTTGAGCTTGGCATCAAGATTCTGGAGAACCTTGCAAGCAACTACTTCGCCATGGCCAATCTGGCAGCAACTTGTGTTACGGCTTTCCGAATTATCGATGAGAAACTGACAGTAAGCAGCCATGTGATAAATAATAGAAGACATGCTAACGCAAGCAGGATCGCTGGAATATGACCAAGGGAATCTTCAACCTGTGCGAGTATACTCTTGATGATATTGAGCATGAGGAGACCGGCGAGGACGCCTCAGAGATCGCAAAGGGGGTTGCCTCTCGAGGAGTGTCTAAGTTCTTGATCGTCTCACCCACTCATGATACCTTGGATGGTTGTCGAGGATACAAGTATCGTCGTCCACTCGCAGCGAAGACAGAGGTGGTGAACACCATGAAGTTCTGTAAGTAAGATTGTACCATTTGCCCACCAAAACTGATCAGTATGTACATCTAGTCCGCGCACTGAACAATGTCGGAAGTACCATTCAGCATCTGCAGCTGCATCGTATGGGAGTGTTGGACACCGTGCTCGTGAAGGCCATGCTACCGATGTTGCCGAACCTCAAGACTCTCGGAGTGCTTCAGTGCCCACTGATCACCTTTTATCACACGAAGAAGATGCTACTCATCATCAAAGATCATCAAGACAAGCACGGAGCAGTCAAGCTCGACTTTTTCCCTCGCTACCACCATGGCTCCCCCAAAGAAGGCCGCCACGGCTCGTATGGACTGTCTTAGATGGACACCAACAAGCCGATCAAGACCGCTATTGGCGCCCGCTTGATCTTCTCTTACCTGCCACTCGCCCTCGAAGCGGGTCAAGATCACTGGTTCGAGCTCTCCAGCTCGTATTGCCAGTTCCTCGAGAAGTTGCCCTTGCCGGATTACTTTGTTCCACGAGTTCTCAACGTTGTCTTGCGTGGTGACAAGCTCAAGGAATATCTGATCGAGGACACTCCTACCTATATCAAGCACATGTTCAACATGTGCGGTGCAGTGCTTGGAGATGGAGCTTTTCTCACAGGCGATGAGCTGGTTCATGAGACTCAATACCGAGGAGAGAAGTACGCAGTCTGGACTGAGAAGTGGCATTGTCCAACGTGCGACCAAGACATGCCCGCCTTCTTCTTCCGACATGACGGAAGCTGCGATGCTTGCGTTCTTGCCCCGAGGATTGCTGAAGAAATTGACCACTATAAGGTCGAGAAGCGAGACCTGGCTGCGTCTTTGTACGAGGAGTGTGGTGCGAAACTGGGCGATCAGATGGAGGATCTGCGAGACAACTTCCACTTCGGACATATGGGGTTTCTCGTCCCTGCATCTTTAGAGAATTGGACCATTGACTCGGCTGTGCAGCGCGCAGCCCAGATCGACGGTCTGAGGGCATTGACTACCAATGTCTTGCAATATGTCGACCGCGCTGAGATTCACTTGCTGAAGCCTGTGGGGCAGGCTCTGGCCAGGGTGACTCGTGACCGGGACTGGAATGACAATCAGTTTGTCCCAAAGATTGATGATCTCGACCCTCGGAACTTTGAGGACAGATACCTGAAGGCGGAAGACTGGGACGAGATGCGTCGAATTCGAGCGAGAAAGCTGGAGAAAGCCAAGGCTTACTGCGTGCTTCATGGACTTCCCACGGATGATGAGGCGCTGCGAAAGACCATCCGTAACGTACTTGCCAATGACTGGCTGAAGAATAAGTGGACGCTCGATGGCCCTCTTCCGGACGACTTCTTTTAAATCAAATCTGTCGCCAAACCAACTGATGCCTCTTGAACACCGGTCACATCTACATGGAACAACGACTTACAGCAATGAAACTACGGACTTGCCTTGGATGGGCCTTGGACTTGGAAGATGATGTTTCTGGATCGATGCGTCGACTGTTCTATACCCCTGCTGCGTTTCCTTTTCGTTACCAATCGGCCCCTTTTTCATTCACAGACATCTGCTATTCCCCCTTTCCTTTGTCTGAAACCGGGCCCGGCTCGAGACTGGAAGTCCTACGAACACAATTGCCTGTCATCAAGAAAACAAAAAAAGAACAAAAAAAAAACCCCCCCGTACGGATTTCCTATTTCACATCAGGTCAACATGAATGCACAAGAGAATGGCGCGGGAGCCAGCCCATGATGCCGTTCAAACGACGGCCCTTCTCCCTAAGAGGATATATTTTTAGAAGCTCAGATTGCAGGAACATTCAGGTCATCACACACGCGTGTGCGCTCCTCTCGTCTACCTCGGAGAACTGCCCGTTCACAGTCACTCAGACCAGGTAGATAACTGTACATGTAGAAAGCTCTGTAAATATATTTGACCTTGCTGCTGCCAGCCTTCATTCGTCCTATCGTGATAAGTATAAGACAAGAGTAAAGACATAAAGTCCATTCAACCAGGGGTCTCCAATGGTCCAGGACCAGAACCTAAACCCAAATCAATCGAAACGCCTGCCTGAACCCCGTAAATGCATCTGTTACGCTGCCGTTTCTTACTGCCGTCGCTGCTGTGATAATTTACTCGTACTGGGAAAAGCCTCCCTTACATGGACCTGCCATCTAAAAGGCACCGTGACCGATAGCGCTACGACTTCTAAGCGTATCGCGATAGTCGTAGCAGTGGCCAGTGGGATTGTTCTCTCGAAGGCCGTCCATATCACTGATACCATCAAGCGTCATTGTCAACCACCCAGCGATCACCCCAAGCATGCACGACCAGCCTCTCCTGTTGGCACCACTCTGCGAGCCATGGCAAGCCGCCGTGCGCCCGCCGCAGCAGGCTCTGCGCGGGTCTCCCGTCCTACAAGATGATCTGCCTGGCGTCCTTGAACTGGCCCTCGCTGGGGCAGTACGGGCACTTGAACCTCGTCCCCTTGGTGAGGTTCTGGAGTGACTCGCGCGCCAAGACGTGGCCGCAGGGCAGCATCATGGGCGGGTTGGCGTCGGTGGTCTGCTCCTTGGAGACGGGGCAGACGAAGATGGAGTGGTAGATCATGGACGAGGGCAGCGGCGTCTCGAACGCGAGCTCCGCCACCGTCGTCCACTCGGTGCGCTTCTCCTTGACGCGCTCGACGTACTTCATCAGCTGCGGCAGCGCGATGGCGCCCGCCGTCGCGGCCACGTACAGTGGCGATTCGGCGGATAGGCCGAGCAGGCTGCAGAACTCGCGCGTGAAGCTTGCGGCTACCTCGTCAAAGGCTGTCTCCATCTCGAAGATGGGTGAATATGGTGAGTCGGCTAGGTTCGGCCGGAAAACCATGGCAGCGGCCAGTTGCTGGATCTCCTTGGCATGGCGGGCCTGGAAGCGCGGGAAGTTGCGCTGGCCGTACCGCAGGGCGCCCATTAGGCCGTTGTTTTCGTCGTCTGGTAGGCCGTTGACCTGCGGACCCTTGAATAGCCACACATATTGCCGTTTGCACAGCTCAAACTCTAGGTTAGAGCCCCGTGCCTCGAGCTCCTGGCTGTTGGCCGTGGCCCAGTCTATGGCGGGTATGAGGTTGTGCGCCTTGAGTTCGGATAATATCTGGTACATTGTTGCGAATTTGGCTTGAAGCTCTTGTGACTGTAGCGATATCTCCGTTTCCGGCTCGGCCTCGTCATCGGCATCTGAGCCGCCATCCATGTCTGTGTCGTCAAACGCCTGACTGTGGCGGGGAGTAGTAGATCGGGCGGCCGCGTCTTGTGCTTCGTGTATGAACGTTGATGCTACGGAGAACTGGCCCTCACGTAGCAGATGCATGGCAATGGCCCGGTTGATCAAGTCTGGGTATTCTGACATTGCGTCGTGGTCTGTAGGTAGTGGTCTTGAGGGGAAATGCTGTAGGAGCGTGTTAGCCATTCGTCCTAATCAAAGAGCTGGCTTGAGGTCTTCCAACCTTATCGAGGGACCGTCCGAAGTCCTTCTGCACCTTTGACACCTTTCGTAGATCTTCCGTAACTGCATCGAAACCTTCGCGTATGGGGTTTTGTAGTTTCGTCATCGTCAGACTCGCGGTATGGGGATCCGAAGCTGCACGACTGTTAGCAATGCCTATGACCGCCACATCCATGTGTTGTAGCTCGACTTTGCGTCTAAGGTGACGAACCGTGTGCTATTTGGTCCCGAGCGGCTGTCAGGACCTCAATCATCTTGTCGACATCGTCGACCGCGGCAGATAGACGAGCAGTGCCTCCGCCGGTCAAGCGGGAGAGCTCCTTCTGAAGCATGGGAATGCCCGCCATTGTGAGCACCTCATCGAACTAGGAGTCTAACCTATGGTTGTATCGCATGCTTCGGGAGCGGTTTTCGTATGGCAAGCGTTCGGAATTATGCAGGCGAGCAGGAAGAAGCTTCGTTCGTTTGCGAGGGGCGGTTAGAGTTGTGTTGAGGTGGTGGTTGTCTCGAGGTTGGATTGGGGAAGGCCGAGATACAGCAGTTGGGATAAGGTTGGTGTTAGTGGTCATCAATCAGGTGCAGTTGCCGCTGTCCGGGTGTGACCTGACCCCAGCCAGCCCGGCTCCAATGATCTCCTCACTTGACTCGTGCGTCAAACCAACACCCCCCACCCCTGCCGGGCCGCCGCTCACTGACGAGCGACCAGTGCAACTTACACCATGCCTTTTTACTAGAGGCGTGATGTACTCAGCATATATTCATCTACAAGTACAAACAGGTTACATGTCATTCAACATTCAATTCTAGCATTCGCATTTCAAACTGCATGCCGGCTCTTGAAGTGTCAATATGAAAGGTTCGGAAAGAATAACAGAGCAGTGATAATGCCGCCCAGTGATCTGATACAAGGTAAAGCAACTCTGGACCATCTAGCATAGCTAAATAGGGTGCCACCACTCTCTATTTGTTCGTGCGGTAAAGAAGTTTCCTGGCCCGCTCAAGATTTGACAACTGATACCCATTCGGTTATGTACAAATTCGACGACTATCCGACTTCGTTTGCCCAGTTGATAAAAGACCGGGCAAGCAAGATGAGTTGATAGCTCGGTGCAACGTCGCTAGGAAGCAATGTTGATGTGAATGTGATCTTGACCCTGTTCCTTAACCTCGCCAGTCATTCTGAGACTCCCAGGCCAGCTGATACTGCGAAACCGGGTGCAGTATTTGATCGCGAAGCTCCAAGTGCGGAAGCATTTCACTCATTTCTCCATCCACCCATATCAAGTCAAATGAAGCAGTGAGTTCCCCTTTCTCCTTGTACCGCAATGTAGTCAGGTAACTAGTTACTGTTTGCCAGGACTCTACCAAGGAATTCTTCAGTTCAGTGCCAGGTGTCCAGGAGCCTCTCCAAGTGAGTCGCGGCTCTTGGTCCTTGATACTATATCGAACAATGCAGTTGGTATCTCCACCAGCAGCATTCCAGATCTCTAATACCTCGAGCCTGGGCATGTTCATCGCTGCAGAGGCTGCAGCTTTGAACAGTGATACGAGCGAGCCTTCAGAAGTAGCCCAGGAAAGCCCCAGTGAGGTCAAGGAAAGTGTTCGGAGATTCGACCAGATCGGCTTTACGTCCATGCCTGTATTGGGCAAGAAGTCTGCAAAGAAGTCCTTGGCATCCAGAAATCGAGAAACCGACAAATGACTCAAGCCATGAATGGATCTGGCAAGGGCTTTCGCCATGATGGGTCTTGATGGGATTCAGTCAGGGGCGCGGTGCGACGGATTCAGGCGGGGATTGAAATCCTCAAATATGCTGAAACTTTGGAGTGTGGCCGGCATATCCATCGAGACCAATTGCATAAATTCTGTAGGCTTATTAGGATACTTCATGAATATGAGATTTGGTTCAAAATACCTTCCATATACCAGTGCTGAAAGGCTGCCTCAACATTCTCCCAAAGCTCGTACCGAAACTTTTGAAGAGATGTAAAGCTCTCTTTCAGAAGCTTGGAGAATACACCAGGCGCAATGTCGCGATAATATTGTCGGCGCACCACGAGCTCTGTGACGGCCTCCACTCTGGGAAACCGAAAGAGGCCCTTCCTCAATATCGCGGAAGTTAAGCTTGAGTGGTTGTGTTCCGGTAACCCGCAACCGTGATCTGTAGCTGGGGGCTTCTCGACAAGCAACCACTCACATAGGACAACCGGTCGGGAATTTAGTCTCACGAGTTGGCTCGCCATAAGCCAGGTGGTAGGCTTCGAATGTCTCGTCCAAATCTTCTTTGACTAGGTACGGATAGTCATCTTCCAGACGGAAATCTCTGAAGGCATGCTGTGAATCGCTCGGAGAGTAGACGCCGAGGTCCAGAGCTAATCTATGTTCGAGTTCACCGCGGCTTCGTCTCTTCCATTTTGTAAGACGACCAACAGATTCCAGATAGTATTGGTGAAGATAGCCCTGTTTCTGTAGAAATATTGTGAGATTCCGGGGGAGAGCACGTGGCTATCATTCTGTGTTGATTATAAAGGAGGGGACATGATCGTGACTTACTGCTCAATACCATGGTCTTTTTCCAGCCACTCACATTCGTCCGCAGTCGTACTCTTCAAGCTTGACGCGAAGCCATATGTGTTGTACGTAGTCACTTCGTCGCTTGGTAGAGACAACCCGGTCGATGTCATGTATCCGGTCTGGGTCCAGAACGAGCCCCTGGAAGTTGATGGGTTCAAAGTATGCCTGCCAGTCTTTACAGACAACAGCGTATCCGGCGCGTGCTTCAGGCTCAGTACTGTAACAGAAGTCCTTGGCGGCGAAGTCAAAAATAGTCGACCGAATTTCGGCTGGGAGGATCATCCAGCCTGCCATGATGTCAAGTTGAGAGGCAGGACTGGGACAGGGTGGGAGGAGGGCAGGGATTTTTTTTTTTATTTTTTTTATTTTTTTTATTTTTTTTTTATTTTTTTAATGCAGATGGAAGGTATGATTACGATTTCAACAGGTTGGTGAGTGTGAGGAAAGAGCCTCTGGCCCTTTATATGTTTACTCGAATTGCACGACCTAAGGAATTCAGAGAAGTTGCGACCTTAGGTGCAGTACAGTCTGAAGGCCGTTTGTTAAGGGAGCAAACCTACCTGAATTCAGACTAAAGTAATATACAATTTGCCTAAAAGACTGAGCTTGTTTCCTCTCAGGAGCTCTCATAATAAGTAGACTCTGTCTTCCCAAGTTCGGACATCTGCTCAAAGAATGGAGGTGAACGTGAAGGAAAATAAATTGCTCATCAACTTAGCTACCCAAACCTATACTTTGTAAAATGAAATGTAGCATAAGTACTCGCTCTCAGGTGCTGCTTTCATGATATGGCTGACTACACATTGATTACTACTGCTCCCCACGTGAATAATCTCTACATTGACAGGGAGTAGTTGAGGTTATCAGCTCTCGTCTTCTGGTGAAATACCTAACTAGCGCCAGGTTACTTACCTAAGGTAGACAGGGGGTCTGTCAGAAGGCGGGGCCAGCAATAGTGTGACCAGGGCGGGTGTGACGCAGTCTTGGCAGGCTCATTGCCCGCTCTCCCGCTGAACCCACAACTGGGGACATGCACCCAGCTTCCGCCTGCCTGCAAGGGTCGATGACTTTGCATCACATGCCCAACTTTCCCTCCAACAAACGGACTCTATTAGCCACCGTCATACTGTGGCTAGATTCCGGTGACAGGAGTGCACTAGGATGCCTCTATCTGTTCGGTTGCTTATGCAATAGCCATTCATTGGCAGGTTGTCCAACGCCAGACCGTCCCCTCCAATTATGAGCCTGTCATTTCGAAACTCTCGGCCCAGTACACCTCCTTCCATGCTGCCGTCCTGCACGTGCTGATAGCTAGCTGTGTGCAGCAGCCATGTCGTTCATGATTGGACTTCCTGTCTACGATGGACGAACCCATCGAGAGGAAGAGATCACTCATGCGAGACTGCTGGCCCAGAGGGCTGCGCGCGCAAGCCAGCAGGATCCCAACTCGACATCCACTGACCCGATGAACGATACATCCGCCAAAACACCGTCGCCTGCCATGTCTCCGGCGCCACAACGTCGGCACGTCGTGTTTCCGGATCCAGTAGCTTTCAGGTAGGTCTATCTAGCTCTAGCACTGCCGTTAGGCGAGTCTAACACCGCTCTCGTTCAGATACCTCGAAGAAGATCCTGCCGTCTCCGTTGTCGAACGCCGAGGAGTTCTCCGCGGCTATGAGCTCTACCTCGTGGAGCAATGGGCCTGTTCTCGCCAGTCGCCAACCCTAGTGATTGTTACATACACTGGAGATCCCAAGCATTCGGTCGTGGTGGGTGTGCTGGCCGTCCCCGCCGATGACAAGGACTGGTCGCCGCGATTACGGGTCTATTTCAAGGCCATTCAACAATACCATGCTCGGCCAAAGGAGACACCGTTGGGGGAGCTTATGGTCACAAACCTCAGTAGCTTCCCTTCAGCTCTGACTGTCATATCTGTGCCGGATGGAGACATCAAGAAACATCGCCAGGCTTTCATAGTCAACGAGAACCTAAAACGCCTAGGCTGCTCTGGACGGTCAGGAATGTCTTTGTCAGACCCCACCCCAGCTACCCAAGCAAAGTTCCTGTCCATGTACAGGACAAGCGAGCGGGTGCCATTCTTTCAAGCTGTCATAGAGCTCGTCAAGCTTTGCCAGGTTGCACTTTTCATCTTTGGCATGCTTGACCAGGAATACATTGACGGTTTGCTTTGCGATGTCACAGAAACGTCGATAGGAAACTGGTGGACGGAGATTGGTTCAGAATACTATAACATCGAACCCACTGACGGCATTCTCGGACCAACAACTGTGGCAGCCATGCTGGGTATGCTTATGGGAGCAAGGAACCGGCTAAGCTCGTACGGAGCGGCCGTTGCAAAAGATGTGTTTGATGTGGACAGCACCAAGCGTGCCATCAGTCAGTTCCAGAAATCTCAGAAGCTCGAAAGGACGAGGCGGCTTGACCGGCAAACTCTCCTTAGACTACATACTGTCACCGCAAAGGCAGCAGCTGGCGAGGGTTGGGGTGTGCAAAAGGCGGTCAAGTCTACAGTGGCTGAGTTTGGCAAGAGAGGCGAGATTCTGAGCGGTATGGTCGGTGCCCGGGACAAGGCTGGCATTGGAGAGATCGAGACCTTGGAGTTTGACAGGTTTAGAGAGCTGGCTTACGGCGAACGAGCCAAGTGGCTGTGGCATGGCAAGCCGAAGAAGTCTCTAGTGGACCACCACGATCGATCAATGACGGACATGAGCAACATATTGTTCGGAAAAGAAGACTCGCCGAATCAACTGACGGCTGTAAGGACGCAATCTCTGCCGCTTGAAGAAGAACTGGAAGTTAGGAAGAAAGAAGAGTCTACGACGATATACTCCGCCCCACCGCCACTCTCTGCTACCACGTTTACGGAGAGTCCTGGAGAAAAGGACGCCCTTAGGAAGACAGTCTTCAAGAGCGTTGCGGGACGGGTGAGCGATGCGCGATCAGGCTTCGGCCGGATCCGAGATGCTGTCGGCGGTGGACTCAGAGGACATTCGAATCGTCTCTCAAAGGATGAGACAGCAGAGACCGGCTATATGAGCCCAAGCATAAGTAGCCTTGTGCAGAGCACAGGTGGCCTCTCAAGTCCTGTCATGGGCCCCGGCCGAGCATTTACATGGAAGAACAAACCGGAAGAATACGCGAACGCTTTCAGGAAAGAGAAGGAGCAGTCATCTATTCCGGTCGTAAATGAGGCAACACAAACTTCCCAGACACCCGCCACTGCGCTCCTTAGTGGGGTGGACGATGCTGAAAAGCTTCCAACAAAAGCGAATGAGATACGCAGGGACATCATAGCGGGCACATCAGTCGCTGGATCTGTAGCGGACGAATGCGATCTACAAGGACCAATTCTGGCGGCAGAGCGCAGCGGAGACACATCCTTATGCTTCTTACAAAGGAGGCATAGCATTGAGGCGTTCCGACGATGCAACGAGATGCGACCTAATGACGAGCGATGGCCTCGTCGCATGTCTTTTGGTGTTGCTGAAGATGCCGTCCTCAGATGGGACGACATCATAGATATCTCGACTGATTATGAGCTGGGACATCCAGATGTGTCTTTAGAAGAGCAAGAGAGCGCCGCCGAGGTAGCGCGGAACCTATTTATGCAGATCATGGATCTCAGACGGGGAGTTGAGCCATGGGTCATGCAGAGGGTCAACGGGATCGAGGCGCTCGACGATGCCTACATGCGGCAGCAGGAAGATCTGCAAGCTCTCTACTATCAGCTGAGTGATGCCTACCAGAGCGTGAAGCAGAGCTCGCAGGAGATGATTGCGGAGGAGCGCGCACACGTCACTGAGGCTATTAAGGACGTTGAGGTGCACGTGGCCAAGCTGGAGTATGAGATCAACGCCCTCGTATCCAAAGTTCAGGACGTTGAGGATGGCGTGGCACAGTTTGAAACGCAGGTGGAGGACGTTGAGAAGAGGGCGGACGAGTTGAAGATCACCCTCGAGACGGAGAGCTGGCTGCATTGGTTTGTCAGGACATTAACGGGCATTGGGACAGGGCCAAATATCACCAGGCCACGGTGATACTCTTTCTACTTTTGTTGCAGCTGCTGTTGCTAAATTTCTGGATCGCATTGTTACGACAAGCATATGATATCCCATGGAAAAGGAGTTTTGAAAAGATTGGATCGCAATCCGGTAGTTTCGTGTTTAGAGAGGATGGTAGTCTATACAAATAATGGGCATAATTCGGTTATACCAAACCGCCTCGGTACAAATACAGAGAGTTTTCTCGTAAATCTCCTATAGCCCGTTTGGTGTTCCGTTTCTAGAACCGGCCGCTTGCTTTGAGATCCCTAAGGCCGCTGCTCTCACTTCCTCCAGCCAGCCATGTAGTATTACACTATGACATAACGCCCCCCTTGAATGTCGCCCTAGCCTATCCGAGATTTACATGCCGAAGCCGCGGGCGCCGCCCGCTTGTTTCTGCTGCTCGCCTTGTAGGATGTCGGAGACCTTCATTTGAACGTCCATGAACTTTGCGGTGCAGCGGTCGAGGCACACGCTTTCGCCCTTGTTCAGCTCGCCTTCCCTGTAGTCGCCCGGGATGCACTTGGCCTGGCACGCCTTGTTGAGGCTAGATGAAGGAGTCAGTCATCAGTAATAGGCTGAGGGAGAACAGTAGTAGGGTTGGAAGAAGCTTACCGGTTGTGTAGATCAGCCAGGAACTTCATCTCCGTCTCGACGGCGGCAATCTTTTCTGCCGAGGAGGGCTGGGGGCGACCAATACCGAAGAAAGACATGATGGGCGATGCGAGGTATGTTGTGTGTATGAACGGTGGTGTTCTTTGGAGAAATGGTTGTTGCGATGGTAGCTGTAGGCTCAAGCAAAAAATCACCGGGAGCCGCCAGTGACGTTGTTCGTCGGCCCCCTGTACCTGCAAAGTTAGCGGAGGTTCTTTGATGCGCGGACGCTAGAACGGACCCCCTTGATTGGTCAATGAATCATTTGAGGGAGCTCACCGTCTAGCAGCACCACACTCCTCTAGTCTAAAAATTAATGACCAGAGCTTCATGATCCGACATAGTCCTTCGTTAAGAAGCTGTGCTGGAAAAGGTGCTTTGGGAGCGGGTAATTGTGAGTACAAACAAACCTCATCTCACTGATCTCGTTCTGTCTATTATATGATGAAAGCAAATGATCAAAGAACCGTTGCGACTGACACTTAACTGTGCATGATCTCAATTGCCTGCTTTCCTGACTCTTCTGCATCTATCAATCTTGCCTGCACACATGAAATCTGCCTTGATACATTGCTAACCACGACATTGGTAGAGACCGCGATGAGCTCCCCATTATGGCTCCAATTCCTTCGCCCATATGCGAGACGGCCACTCGCCGCGCGCAAGTCGGTATACCTGAGCTTCTATGAGCTCACTCGACAAGGCCATGCGCAAGCACCAGGAGTGCAACGCAAGCGTTTTGCGAGCACGCAGAAACCGGCGACATCGGATGACCTCGAGGTAGAGAACGAAGGTGCGCTTGTCGATGCTCGAATCAAGGAGCTATCCGCAGCCGAGGCACTGTCCTATCCCCGGTATAAGTCCACAGGAAACCATCTGAGGGTACCGATTTTCAATGAGAGATACAAGGATGTCACTCCGCAGACGCCCGCCTCAGACGAGGTAGTTCTGCATGGACGTGTGCACGCGGTACGGCGTGGTAGCTCGAAGCTTGTATTTATAGACATAACGGGAGAGTTCGAGCATGTTCAGGGGCTATGTAACTTCGGTAAGCTGGGCCCTCTAGGTATAAACCTGGAGGACTTCAAGGCGTCGACTCGGTTGCTCAAGAGAGGTGATCACGTCGCTTTGACCGGTCGACCAACACGGACAGAGAGGGGCGAGCTCACCCTCGAGGCCACCCAGCTCCCGCAGCTGCTCTCTCCCAGTCTCGTGCCACTTCCTACCAAGTTGGTAGACGAAGACACGAAGATACAGAAGCGCCACGTTGACCTGCTGGTCAATCGCCAACAAGCCGACATTCTCCGGCTGCGCGCTTACATCATGAAGTACATGCGGGACTTCTTCCACGACCGCGGTTTCCTTGAATTCCAAACGCCGATCATGGCCGAGAACGCCGGAGGCGCAATCGCCCGGCCGTTCGCAACGACCTCAACGGAGTTTCCAGACAAAGAGCTGGCCCTGCGCATCGCGCCAGAGCTATGGCTGAAGAGGCTAGTCGTCGGAGGCATCGAGAGGGTATTCGAGATAGGACCCTCCTTCCGCAACGAAGGCATCGACCTCTCGCACAATCCCGAGTTCACCACGTGCGAATACTACAACGCATACGCCAGTCTGTCCGATTTGACTTCACAGACGGAAGACCTCGTCTCCGGCATGGCACACTACTGCCAGGGCCTGATCGATACAAAACTGACCTCCCTCCCGCCTATCGACCTCGCCCCCTATAACGAGCCATACAAGCAGCTCGAGTTCATCCCCTCTCTCGAATCCGCCCTCGGCTTCACTCTGCCAGATCTATCCAGCGACACCGCCTTCTCTGAGCTCACCTCTCTCCTCAAGGAGCACAAGATCGACCAGGGCACAGACGACGTCTCCGCCTCGTCGACCACCCTCTCCCAGCTCCTCGACCGCCTCGCGGGCATCTACCTCGAGCCGCACTCGGCGCGCGCCCCGCTCCTCATCACCCACCACCCGGCGTGCATGTCGCCGCTCTCCAAGTCCTTCACATGCGACAAGACGGGACAGCTCGTGTCCGCGCGCGCGGAGCTCTTCGTCGGCGGCCGCGAGCTCGCCAACATGTACGAGGAGGAGAACGACCCGTTTGCGCAACGCCGCAAGTTCGTCGAGCAGGCGCGCTACCGCGAGCAGCGCGCCGCCGCAGCAGCAGCAGCAGCGGGAGGCGGCAACGAGGCAGAAAACTCGTCCTCATCCCGCTTCGACAGCGAGGACGCCTCACTGGCCATCGACGAGAGCTACATCTCTGCGCTGGAGTCTGGATTGCCGCCCACGGGCGGCTGGGGCTGCGGCATTGAGAGGCTCGTCATGGCGTTCTCTGGGACGCGGCGTATTAATGACTGCCTGAGCTTTGGAACTCTCAGGAATGTCGTGGGCCTGTCGTCTAGGAGGAAGAAGTAACCGCTAAACGACCTGCTAGACAGTGTAAAACCTTAGAAAACTGTAGACAGTGTATCAACTCCCGATATTACGCGTCTCGACCTCTTTAATGCTGTAAAATACACACTTCTGTCACATACTACGCCAGTGATTCGAATGAATGAATGCAAATGTTCATGATTGTGTGATGGACTCGCTACTCTAGAAGACGGGGATAAAACGCTCCTAGCTCAAACCTAGCATAGGACGCTTGTCTCTCGTCACATTTTAACGCCTGTGACAGACACATACAAAGAAAATGATCTTTCCCTTCTTGCTGTAAATGCTTTGTGTCAATCCTGTGCCCTCGCCCTTAGGCGGCCCCCATGCAGTCCATCTCACATCCTTGCTTTGCCCCTTATCCAGGCCCACTGCCGAACAGCCACACTAACATCTCGTTGCAAATTTGATCAGGGGAAAATTTTCAAGCCAAGAAACGCCTTCTTCACTTCCTTTACGAAAGATGAAGATACCCTTTGGTTAACGCCAGCCGGGAAAAGAAAGAGCAATGTCGTCATCCCTCGGTCCCGACCACGCGGGCCAGCGTGCCGCGACACTGCCGGGAGCTGGAGTTTTATCTGACCTGCTCACTTTATGATAGAACCGAGTCAGAAGAAGAGTTGTCGTAAAAGTCGTGCCTTTATACAGTTATTTCCCTCGCACACGCCCCTTTTTCGTTGTGCTGCCACTTTTAGTCGATAGTCATCCGGCTCGGCAGCTGCGGCTTCACGTCGTTGAGGCTAATACTATTCGCATCCGGCTTCTCGACGTCTCTGCTTGGCTTCAGGAGGTGTTGCTTCAGGCCCGCGTTGAAGTTGCTCATGCAGATGAAGGCATTAGCGATTGTGAGAATGATGAGCAAGATAGTCAGAACAGCGAAAGCCGTCAGACTCCTCCTCACGGGCAAGTAGAAATCACTGTGCCCAGGCTGATAGATTCGGACGAGCTTGAAGAAAAAGTAGGCAAGACCACCGAAGTACAGGATGATGATGCCCCACATGCCCGGCTTCGACTCGTGTCGGGTGAAGAAGGCGGCCATCAGCAGAATGGCAATCGTGACGGGAACGGCAGCAATGGTAAGACCGAATTCCACGTCCGTCTTGCCGCCGACGATAACGAGGAATTGGACGGTGAAGCCGACGAAGAAGAAGAAATCGAACTTCAACAATGCGATATAGATCTGTACAGATGCGTGTTAGTACTACGTGGGTTTCTTTGACATTTGTTCTAGCGACTTACCTGATAGTACAAGAAACGCTTCTTCATGCGATAATCCGCACCGATGTACTTCAGAATATCCCAAGCGAACTCCTGGTATAGCTTCCAAGCGATGAAAGCCATGCACAGGGTCCCAACAGCAAGGATGATGGGAATGGCTACAAGGTACGGCTTGCAGTCAGCCCATAGAGCAGCTTCTGGTCTTCCGACTGGTACGTCCTTCAGGCCGCCTGCCTGGCCCAGCAGCGTGATGGCCATTTTGATCTGGTCAATCTGGATAGCTGTGTAGACCAGGAGGGCCAGATTGGCAACGCAGAGGCCAATAACTTGAATAGTATTCTTCATTCGTAATGCGTCCCACACAAGAACCAGTTCGTAAAGGAAGCCGAAGATGAACAGGCTGAGGAAGGTCGGGATCGTCTTGTATTGTGCGTTTGTGGTGTCATCCGCTTTCACTGTCTTTCCTTGTTGCGTCTGGAACTTTCCGAAGACATATCTGCAGCCGAGAGGTTAGTGATCAGAAGGGAGAGGGCGCGCGATGGGCTGAAAAATGCTCACGCTTCAAATGCCAGACAGATCATGGCCTGCACCAAGGTGGTGCCCATAAAGGCCTTGGGCCATTTCGTCGCGATAAAATCCATGCTGCTCCGATGGCTGCTGGTTCCCTTTGAAGGAGTGATGCCTTCTCTGTAGTAATAACCTCCTTGCTGGTAGGGCTGCTGGGCGAACCCAGGATCCGCGGCCAGAAGCGACCGGCGAGATTCTTGTCGGAAGGCCAGGACGGGCGGGCTACTCGACTCCTTACGGGAGCCGGATCGACTGCAAGCTCTGCCGACGGATGTACGCTCGATAAGATTGAAACTAGTCAGTTCTCAATCTGAGTAAGGGATGGATTGCTTGATGATGTTGTTGAAAAGGTTTAAGGTATCCCGACCACTCGCAGGAGGAGTGGAGAGGGTCGTCCGTATGGTCGACGTGAGCTAGCAGCGGATCAGGGTCGCTGTTAGTGGGATTATCAAACGTGATCGGTCCAGTGAATGGGCAGAGCACGGATCAAGCGTCGGCAAGGGATGGGCGGTCTGGTTCTGGTTTACCTGGAGATGGAGGTTGTGGATTTTTGGGACTGCTGAAACAGGTCGAGGGGTTTGAAGTTGTTCGAGGGGGCGACAAGGGGACCGTTGAGTTTGCGGTGATGTGAGATCCTGGGTGGGCTTAAAGTCTCTCGCGTGCAGTGCACACACAGACACAGACACAGACACAGACACAAACTCAATGACAGCCCTCTGCGCAAGCATGCAGTCGAGTACTGTTAATGTGCGTGGTACTATAGGGTGGGCGTGACGTTGTTGGTCGGGGAGGGCGAGTGTCAGGATCGGATTGGATTGACTTGGATTGGAACACGGAGCGAGTGAGGTGCCCGGGTGTGCTGTTGGTCGCAGACAAGGGTCTTTTCAGCGGGTATCGAAGGATGGGTGGCCGTCAGAGAGTCTCTTTGGACTCTTGGGATTTTCTTGGGTGCAGCGTAGCGTCAGAGAGCGACACTCAATGCAACGGCAGTCCGGATACGGGGGTGAGGGGGGATCTGGGCTGCAGGCCAAATTCGTATAACGAGAGAAACGCGGCGATGGGCTGCCGACGGAGACTGGATTAAGCCTGAGGAAGTAAAGATGAGGAGGAGGTTTAGTGAATGGTGCAAAAGATGCTATGTCGTGTTGAAAAAGTGAAGAGATGAAGATGCACCGTGCCTTTCTTCTTGGATATGGGTATCTATTAGCTTTTCTTTTCTCCTCTCGGGTCCAGTCCAGCCTCACGCGTCCTTTCCTGTCCTAGACTTTCTGGGTACCGGCGGTAGCTCTTTCCTCTGTCAGCGAGATTCTCTCACTCAGCCTTGGCGGGAATGAAGGACAGCCTGTGAGCCAATGCCAACGAATTTCTGCCAGTGATTCCTTCCTTACTGGGCGGAGGGCTCCATCTCGGTCTTGCCATCAAGTCACTCACAGTAGGGCTGTGTAAAGTGGTCCCACTGTCCCAGGGGCCCTGGGGCCCTACGGGAGTTCGTCGAGGTGCTAGGACTTTCGAGCAAGTCGTCTCTGTTAGTGTCAATGCGTCCATCGTCCGATTCTTCTTCGGGAAAATGCTTGCTATGCCTTTGCGATCCTGGACTCGTCACCCCATGCACTAACAAGTGCTACCAGGCCACGAGCTGTCTCATTCTGGTCCTGGGACCCCAATCCTGCCGGCCTCCCGCAAGTTCACCTCCAGCCACAATCAATGGATTGTCCACTACAACACGGACGGCCATCTCTAGCAGACACCGACTAACGTTAACCAATGCTAGCGGATTGATGAGCTGAGACAATACATGCCCGCTAACACCACTATTGGCTCCCGCTACGGGCGCTGTCATTCAGGGCAAAAGTCAGCCAGTCTCACATGCCTTGACTTGTCTTGTCTTGGACTGCCCCCGGCGAGAACAAAGCCTCCCGTAACGTGACCTCGGGCTCAAAGAAACCAAAACCCCAGTTTATGATTACGATTCAGGCCGGACTTGGGCACGACACAATGAAGCAATCGGTCAACTTACCAATTCATCGATTACAATAACAAGAACGCCTATGATCGGCAGCATGGCCCGTGGTGGGGGGGCCCTGGCCTGGAAGGACGTGACGACACATACCACACCATAGCGCAGCATCTTGATGAGACTGGCCGTGTTTAGCGCCAAGGTGGCTGAGCCACCCTCGGCAAAAAGCAGGCCTCTCTCCAGCAGACCAGTTCTGTCGTGATATTGCCTTGGCAGAGCGACAGCCTTTGTTCTTTTTCTGGGCTCTTTGGGGTCAGAACTCAAAATGCATCGAGATAAAGTTGGAAACGGGATGGCTTCGGCTGGCTGCTGAACCGGAAGGCTGTCCCGGCTCGAGGATGATGAAGATGATGCTTATCACCATGACGATGACAGTGATTGTGCCCGAGAGCCTACAGCTGACTGCCATTTTCGACTCGCCCAGTTGTAGCCTGCAGCCAATATGTGAGCCTCACCGATGGTGAAAAACATGCATATATCGTAGCCTCAGTGTCGTCGTGCTCGGGCGTTATAGCAGTACGGTATATGACCCGAGCCATAATCCGTCATACCCCGGCATTTGGCCTTGCTCAACATGGTACAAACTGCCGCGTCTAAGCATCTCAGTGTGCGCATCCCGCCCCTGTGGTTCTGCCTCTCGGGGTGGCTGTGCGTATCAGTATCAATGCCATGAAAGGACCACATACATCGCCATCATCATTGTCGCATATCTCCAGATTGGGATCTGGCATGCGAACAAGCTAAGGATCTGTCGTTGTAGTTGATGACTAAGATTCATGCGTGCATGTCCCTTTCTGTCTGTCAATCATCTTCCTATCTGCTCTTATCGTGTGTCCTTCACGAGAATCGCAATGGATAGCTTAACACATGCGAAGACTCTGATGTGGAGGGACAGTGTACTTTTTCTAGGTATCATTATTGCAGCGTTGAATATACGAGATATCTGACTTTTCCGGTGTTACTTACTCACTATACAGTAGTAAAGGCCGCTAGATGAGAGGATCACTAGAAATTTGGAGACGATTTCTCCGAAGCATCAGGTCAATATAGAGCGTCTTTGTAATTCATTTCCTGCCAATGGTCTTCAACGACAGCATAAGGTCTTTGACAGGAATAGCTAACAATCCTCTCTGGAAATACCAAGAGTATAAAATTGAGCTTCTCTGAATCGGAAGGGCGTATGCTATAAAAAAAGCATCACGGTGATAGAAGAAGCGTTGGGGTTTAAACTTCCGGGTGCCTGCAGGTGAACGCTGCGAGGCTGTCAAGCTCAACCTCTGGAAACGTTTTCCAACGTTGACGGGAACAATTAGGCCATTAAGTAAGTTCTGTTTTAGCGGCTCCCAGCATTTGCCTTGCTATGCAGTAGAAGGTGGAAGCCCCAGAAAGGCGCTAGCGACTAGCGGATCTTATCAACCACCTGCGCGAACCAACCGCCATCGCGCCTTGCGATACGTCGTGCGTGCCGTGAGGTGAGGCTGAACCGTCTTTTCTTGCACGTTTTCCCACCCGCAGTCCTCGGCCTTTCCCCCAAGACCAGCCAGCGAGCGACGGGCCACCATGGAGATCGAGACCGACGACGACATCCTGCGCAAGGTCGCCTCGGGCGGGTCCATGGACTAGTAAGTTGTGCACTTCGCTCCCGCAATCTGCAAAAGAGGAAATGGCAGTCCGTTCTGACGCATGTGACCACTCTTCACAGCTCGGCTTGGCCCAGTCTTCTCATAGACATAGTGGCGCGCATCGAAAAGGTGAGCTGCCATGTCCCCGGCTCGTTGCCCACGAGCAGCATCCAGGGGCTCTCAACCTTGCTGACCCATCTCTAGATCGCGCACAATGACTTCCCGATACCCTCAATTCCTCCTCCATCCACCGCACCGCCACCCCCAGAGCCGCGCTTCCTCGCGCCGCTGCCCTCCTCCGACCCCATAGAACCGCCGCCGCAGCAGTCCGGCGCGGCGACAACGACATCAGCATCAGACAGCCAGGACTCATCACAGGACACCAACAAAGAGAATGCCAACCCGACCGCCTCGGCCTCGACAGGCCCGGGGCCGCAACCACCAACGGGAGAAGCAGCAGCAGGAACAGCAGGAGGGACGGCATCACCCCTCGAGCCCGGCGCCCTCCCGCCGCAGATCACCGCTATGCTCGCCGAGATCAAGACGACCCTCGTCGACGGCTTCCCCGTCTACCCACCACACACGATCCAGCGCCTCGCCGAGCTGGTCCTGGCCCCCAGGCAACACTACCGCTCGCTGCCCTCCTACCTGCACGCCGTCGATCGCGTCGTCCACGTCACCAGCGGCAACAACATCTACCCGCTGCCGCCCGCCATCCCCGACATGTCCGCCATGTCGCTGCTCGCTAACGGCGTTGGGAGCAGCAGAGACGACTCGAGTCGGAACAGCATGGCGTGGGCAAACGCCAGCGCAGGCGCAGCGGTCGGCAGCGACGAGGCCCTCGGCGGCGCGCTCCTGACGCCCATCCCCTGGCTGCAGCGGAGAGCGAACGGCGGCAGCGACGCATCGCCCTCGCCGTCACCACCCATCTCCGAAGGCAGCGCGGCCGCGGCCGCGGCCCAGAACCAAGGCCCGGCCGGCGCACAAGCCTCCCAACAGAGAGGCGTCCAAGGCGCAGCAGCACAGTCGAGCCCCGGAGCAGGTAATGGCGGCAGCGGTGCAGGCAGGCAGTTCGAGGGCCAGGTGCGGACGGAGAGCACGGAGACGATCGACGGGCCCAACGGCATCGGCAGCATCGAGACCGTGTCCATCTCGTTCAACGGCATCCCCTCGATGGGCGCCGCCCGCGCCCTCACCCAGGGCGAGATCCTGCGCCAGGAGCAGCGCGCCGGCGTCGTCCCCGTGTCCCAGCTCGCGCGCGCCAGCGCCGCCATGACCGCCACCGCCTCCCCGCTGTCCGCCGCATCATCGTCGTCACCTGCATCGTCCGCAGGCGAGCCGACGCCCACCAGCACCGGCAGCCCCGGCCCCAGCCCCAGCCCCGAGGGCGCGGAGCTGACGCCCTCGTCCGCGGACGAGGAGATGGCCAACGTCGGCGGCGACGAGGTGCCGCACGCGCGAGGCCCGGAGGAGATCGGCGCGGCGGACACCGGGCCGCAGAACCCAACCACCTCGCCGTACATAGTCGGCAGCGGGGGCAACGTGGAGATGCGCGGCATCGATGTCGAGGCGGCGGTTGGTCGGAAGGCGGAGCATTCACACTCGCCGGATCCCGACTCTTCTGTCTCATCCGCCCTAAGCCCTTCGTCAAAGCGCGAGGCGGACGTGGACATCGAGGCTACCGACGCGCCGGCGCAGAAGAAGCTAAAGGAACATGAGGGAGACGATGTCGCTGGGGCCGGATCAGATGACGCAGCAGATGGTCCATCGGAAGAAGGGGAGCCGAAGAAGGACGCTGAGGGCGATATCGAGCTCTCAGATGAAGTGCCCGAGGGCAGCATAGATGCAGGAGTTGAGACAGATGCCGCCAGCACGGAAGCTGCAGGTGAGGCGAGCAAAGAATAGCGGGAGTTCAGCTTACTGCTTCTCCGGGACAAAAAAGGGAGAAGTTCCATCGGCGACATTGACCCTGTAGACAATTTTCATGTTTAAGTATGAGTACAACGGTTACGGGGAGTCTGGCGACGGCAAGATCACAGGCACGGATAGGTGCCCAATACACTGATTGATTGTTTCATTACATCTCAATTATGCTACTGCACAATATGCTAGGGTATCGCTAGCTGAAAGCAAATACATGAGTGGCATGCAGACGGCATGAAATGATATCATACTGTACAATGCAAGTAAATTCTTTGTCGTCAAAAGCGCCTTTGCAAATGCCACGATGCCAAGTGTGTAAGACACGTTCTCCAAAACAGAACGCCGTCATCTAACTCCCTCTAAGGGTATCAATCTTCCTGCGGGAACTTACTCCGAAACCCTGGTGATGCTCTCCTTAACAATGACGCTCTCCTGTCTGTCATCGCGCTTGACTCGCCAGAATGTATCACAGAAATCCGAGCACTGCATGTGGCGCAGGAACTCCTCGTCGTGAGTGATGATGATGAGCTGGAAGTTAGACTGAGCCTGACGGGCCTTGATTATCCCATGCAAGCTGATTGCGAGCGAGCGGATGTTGTCCGAGTCCAGGTTCGTAGTAGGCTCATCAAGCGCGATCAGACCGCAGTTGACACCAAACGACTCTGCGAGCGCCAAGCGAATAATGATGGATGCCAGTACCTTCTGGCCAGCGCTGCACCGGCCACGCATGTCCATCTCGGTATCCTGCTTGACCATGCACAGACGATAGTTGTAGGAGCGCTTTCCCGTCGCAGTCTCGTTCTCCGAACGGATGAGAATCGTGTCAATATCCGTGCCTTGATAGGTCGCCTGCCACAGTTCGCCTGCAGTGCGATTGACCTCCTCCATCTTGAGAGAATGATACTGCATGATGGCCTTGTCGAGTGCCTCACCATATACCTTCAAGTCCTCAATAGCACCCTTCTCACCCTCGACCTTGATGAGGGTCTCTTTGTACAAGACCTCAGCGTTCTTATATTCGAGCTCCCATTCATCGATCAAGCGGCCAAGCTCACTATCCTTGGCGTTCATCTCGCTCATCCAACCAGACCGCTGGGCAAAGAGTCTGTTATACTGGCTCTCAAGTCCAGTCACCTCTTGGTGAAGACGATCGTAATCATCATTCGCATTCCGCGACTTCAAGTCGTTGATCTCCAGCGCCAGCCTTTCCAACAGGCGGAGGTTTTTGCGGTAGTTCAGATTATTGTTGATGTTCTTCTTTTGACGATCACCATTGGCCAGCTCCTGCTTCTGCTTATCAATGACTGCCATCAGGTCGGCCATCTCCTTGTCGTAGCGACCCATGGTTTCATCGAGGACCTTGATGGATCGCTCGATGGATGTCAATTCTGAAGCGCCGCCTCGGTCAATGTAGTCTTGGATGTCATTGTCAATCATCTTCAGTTCGCTGACAGTGTGCGAGATCTTGTCGCGTTCCTCTGCGACCTTTTGCTCTTTAGCACGTACTCTCTGAAGGGTAGCCTCCTTTAACTCTCTCGCCTTGGAAATCTCCGGTTCGAGAGCCCCAATATCCTCATCAGTCTGCTCAACGATCATCTGTTGCTGGGCGTTCTCATCTCTGAGCATTTGAATCTGGTCAAGCAAATTTGTCTTCCGCTCAAGCTGTCGCTGAGCGCTGCTCAATTTGTTTTTCAGTTCACTTCGCTCGAGCTCGAGGGAGTTCAAGAGATCCTTCATGCGTTGTCTGTCGACACTTAACTTGCCAAGCTTCTGCTTCACAGTTCGGGTTTGGTCGGCACAGGTGGCTTGGAGTTCGTTGACCTCATCTGCGCTTCGCATGGCTCCCGTAGACGACTGTTGTGACGCCAATCTGTCGATCTGCTTCTCTGACTCCGAGATTTCTCTGCGTGTCTGAGAGATGTTGAGGACAGCCTTACTCATCGATTCAATGTCCTGTCGTTTCTCGTCTGCTTCCCGATGAGCCACGTCCTCGTCCTCCAGCTGCCGTACAACTGTGCCCTTCTGTGTTTCCGCGGCTTCAATTTCTTTCTCTACGGCAGGTAGCTCAGACTTTGCTCTACGATATGCATCGTATTGAGGACGAACCCCACGCATCTGATTCAGATTTTTGTCGACAGAAGACATAAGTTCTTCCAGTTTGACCTTTTCCTCGTCACTGATATTGTCCGCAATCTTCTTGATCAATCTCGACCGAGAACGCAACTGATCGTGATCATCGAAGCCTCGCTCGCAGAGGGAACATTTGTTGTACTTGTCCAAATATGTCCGAGACTTGGTGTAGTACTCTTTCAGTTTGTCATATAGAGCCAGATCCTTCTCAAGTGAAATCTTCTCATCTTCCAGTTCATCAAGTTCTTCAGTGTAGTCTTCGATGACGACAGAGTCTGGATCTTCTTTTCCCTGCTTGAGAATGGCAAGGACCGCATTTTGACATCGCGTAGAATCGGAAGACAGGGTCTTGCGTTTATCCCGAGCAGTAGAGAGCTTGTACTCAAGTTGCTTCAGTTCCTGCTGCTTGGCTTCGACACGTTGACGGGCTTCAGCGACCTTGGTGTTTTGCTGCTTCAAGACAACTTGAAAGTCAGACTCGACGGTCTCTGCTTGCCACTCGGAGCCGATGATAGCATCCAATTTGGCTTTCCAGGTGTTGGTCAGAGTATCCAACTTGCGCTTACGTTCGACGAGCTCTTTCTTGCGAAGATCTAGCTGGGCCCGTTCTGTTGCCAATCTTGTGCACTCAACAAGCTCTCGGCTCAACTTCTCGCCCTCGTTTTCAAGTTGGCGTAGTCGGTCTTCCTCCTCCTGGATCTTCCTATCCCAACCTGCCGTCACGAGGTCCTCCTGAACCTTCTGATAACGTTGATCCAGGTCATTCTGTGTCGACTGTAGGACTGCTATAGCACCCTCGTCAAAGTTTAAGGCATTGATCTCGGTGCCAAGGCGATCCGATCTATTGTTGTTGCTGGCAATCCGCTGCCTAGCAGATATGCGATCTTGCATCCGGCTGGACCTGCGGCTCTCCAACTCGCTGATAGTATCAGAGACTTCGCTCACCTCCTGCTGGTTATTCTTTTGTAGACGGTCAAGCTCTCGCTTTTTCTCTGTCAGGAGTTTCTGTATCCGCTCATCGAAGGCATGGACATGTTTGTCCTCCAAATCACCATCATAACCACGGATTTCATGTCGAGCAGCGGCTGCGCGGATCATGTCGATGCGGGTCTGCAGTTGACGCTCGTACTTCTCCTTATCAGACTGCAGCTTACCCTTCTCCGCGAGCTTCACGGTCTGAGTTTTCCTGGAGGAAGCGAGTTCCTTTTGCAGTTCGAGATGGCGTGACCTGTTGTCCTCAATCTCGTTCTCCATGCTTTCCAGCCGTTGCTCATATTGAGCTAGGGTGTTCTCTAGCCACTCGTCCGACTCCGACATCTCTTCGATGGTGTTTCGGAGCTCGCGAGCAGCATCTTGACGAAACTGGTACTGCTCATTCTTGTTTTTAAGCTCCTGAACAATTCCCAGGAAGTGGTTTGCTTCCTCGCGAGTCCTTGTGGTCGCGTCCTGGATCTCCTTCAACTCCTTCGTCGCTTCATCGCTCTTCTCGCGCAATTTCTCGATATCTGCTTGGAGATCTCGCGACTTCTTCTCAATATTCTCGGCCTTCACCTTGTTACTCTTGGCGCTGATGGACTTCTCCTTCAGAATGCGGAGTGCTTCGCCATGTTTCTTTCGCAAGACTTTGAGACTGTCAACCGCCTTGGTGTATCTGCCGGCCTCGAAGATTTCATCGAACTTCTTCTTGAGAACAGAAGGTTCGCTGAGGGGCCAGAGCGACTCATCCTGGTGGCAGAAAATGACGCTGTCGAGGATGGCTGCGGAGACACCCAGATGCTTAGGGATCTCCTCATCTAACTCACTGGTCTTTGAGGAAGCAACTCCTTGTTCACCATTATGCACCCATCGAAGCGAGCCCTCAAGCGTCTTTTGGGACCGGGTATTTTTTTTCAATGTGACCTGGAGACTTCGGGTGAGGGTAAGCTCCTTCCCGCTAGTAGCGAAGAAGCGAAGCTTGACTTGAGCCCGGACTTCTTTCTCGTCGCATAGCTGAAAAAGGCGAACTATTAGCATCTACAAGGCTGATGGAGTGGGGTGCGATAGAACAAGCCACAGCTTACCTTGGGATCGTGGACGAAGTTCCCGCCTTTGCTGTTTGGGGGTAGTTCGCCGGTAGTTGCGTACTTTAGGCACTCGATGATTGTGGTCTTTCCTGATCCATTGTATCCTACGATCAAGGTCAGGGGAGTGTTGAACTTGATCGACTCCTTATGTCCGATCCCAAAGGACCGGACACCTTGGATCGCAAGAGCGTCAATCCTTGACATCCTGGCGGCTTGACGAAGCTTTCATCAGAGGTGGAATGACACAGATTGGCAAGCCTCGTTACCAGCGGGCGAAGGAGCCGAGAGGTAGTTGCGACGCCAGACGTTGGCGGGATTTGTTTTGTTCGTTGGTGATGGTTTGGTGGTGGTGGTGGGGAAGAATAACTATTTGGGTGGTAGGCCACTGGTAGCAAACGCGGAGTGGAAGCTTAGCAGTAGGCAATAGTCGCGCCTGCCTGGGGTCGCCTGGGACGCGAGGAGCGAAATCACGTGTTCGCCAAAGTGGTTTGTAGGTGTTTCCTTTGCACTCCAACAGGAAGGGACGTAACATTACCAGAAAGCAGTCTCACTAAGCAAGTGCCTTCCAGGTTTGATCAATGATGACATTTAGGGTTCGTTAAATTACAGAGATATATAGCGCTGTGGTGGTTGATCTGAATAACCTCCCGACGTCGTACCTCGTTATTATTTCCTCAAGTTCAACTGTGCGTTATCAATCAACTACTCTAGAAACTCGAGAAACTCGAGAAAACATATCTCAGGTTGCATGATGTGCTTCAACAAGATGCAAGAAAAGAGGCAAGCCCGGGGCATCAAAGAGACCAGCACCACAGGTACACGTACATGAAGAGCCTCAGGGGAGCTTCTCCAATGTGATCTCGATGGGCTTGAGACTATGTGAAACCTGTCTCAATGCAAAGCTCCCTTTACTGGGAGTCCTAACTATTATGATTCTACTGTTCTAATACCTTTAGCTTTCCAATGCAAGGAGGCTTCAATATGCACACGAGCTCTATCCCAAAAAAAAGCCTGGAAGGCCAGTACAGCTTCTTGATGTTCTGCAGATAGGCGAAATCGGCGCTCACCCACCTACTAATATGTGATTACTTTAATTACTTTAATATATTACCTAGGTAGTTATCCCGCCACCTTGTTCAGGGTCTCGCCATTACTACTTTATAGGTACACTGCAAGTCAATCGGGTCACATATCCGCTCAACATGTTGCGACAGGGTGCATTATTTGAGATTCTATTGAAGATTCGTCAACGCTACAGCTTGTTGATATCATGATCTCAATCATATAGCAGGCAGGCCAAGAACGGAGAAGGATACCTTGTTTTTACATGGAGTAATCCCATCTGAAGAGTCTCCAATGTTTCCAGGAGCTTTTACCCCGCGCGGCGGGTCCGATTGGGCTTGCAAGAGGTGAAGGGGTCCCCGTAGCGCCGAAAAGACCTGGAATTTTGTGGGCTTCCCACTTGCCATCCGGGTCCGAGATGTGATGCTAGGATGCTAGGGGTGCATCGCCGTAGACAGGCCAGTCATCAGTTACAGTATCGAGGGATCATGGTGGTAGACCCTCAAGAGACCAAGATGGGATTCGACTAAGCGAACCGGCGACATTAACAATAACGGCGCACTTGACTACCGGTACCTGGGTGGGAAATGCGACTTGGAGTTGGCAATCAGCTCCGCTTATTGACGGCGTGTTAGCCAGGTTGATCAGGTTCGCCCGATTGACTTTTAGGGGTCTTCTGGCAGCTAACCTGATTCATTCGGGTTCAGGTCCTGCGAATCGTGGAGACACGCTGCTGCTGCTAAATACCTGTGCCGTACATGTACCTGGCTGGGTAAGAGGGGTTATCCAGCACGCTACTTGGTGAGCGGCTACCTACGAGCTACAGTTACAGGGTAACTGAGGAGTGACGGAGAGTGTGGGTTTTGCGCATTTCCCATTATCCATCCGAATTCCCATAATTCCGAGATCAAGAAAACCAAATGCCACACCGGGCGCCCGCCTCTCCCCAAAGACTCTGGATCGACGCTTCACGCCCTGCCCTGCCCTGCCCTGCCGTCCTTCCTGAGATCTGAATTGTTCTCTCAGAACCAGGCCACTTGATGGAGCCTCGTTAGGTTAGATGAGACAGGCACACACATCGCCGCGCTCATACCTCGTACCTACAGCCCGCCTGTCTCTTCGCTATCTTCTGGCTCAATCGTCGTCTCTGTTCCCATCCCTACTCATCCACGGCATACTACATAGTGTCCTGTCCTGTCCTGTCCTGTCCGGCCTGCAACCAAACCCCCAAAGGCTCATTTCGAACAGTCCTGCCATTCCCCTTCAGCAGTCTCCCTTCTCTCCCATCATTTCTGGTATCTCTTTGTGATGTACCGCTGCGAGGAGCGACGATTCAGGCCAAGTCCATATCGCGAGTCTCTTCTTACAGCACGCCCTCAGCCACCGCTGCCATTGGCAAATTGCGGCGCCCACAGCGCGAGCAACAGCAGCAGCAGCAGCAGCACTTATCGCTATCACCACACGCCCGCCGCGCCCTGATTCTCATTTTCAGCAGCAGCCACACGCCGCGCGACGATGTCTCAAGGGCCGCCACCTCCTCCCCCCGCCAGCCTCTTTGGCTTCGGCTCTGTCACCGGCCCCGGCCTCGTCCCAGACCTCACGGGCATGAATGCCAACATCCCAGACACGGAGGTAAATATCTTCCTCCCCCTGCTGGGCCCGGTTGTGTGGGCTGCTGTCCATTTTTGGCTAACGAGTAACACAACCCGTAGATCACCGCAGACGGCCTACCACTACTCGATAATTCCATGTACACTGGCTTCGACTCAATGTCGATGTCCCTCGACACCTCAGACATGTCAACGGGCTTCAATCCGCTTTCCGCCGCCGGGCCCTCAATTTCTCAGACTACCATGGCCAGCCCTGATGGCGGCCAGAGATTTTCAATGTCTGGGACCGAGGATAATGGCCCCGGTTCGGGCCCTCTTCCCGTTTCTACCTTTGGTTCGCAACAGGGCCACTCTGGTGGGTCCACCCTGACCGAATTCACGAAAAGGAGGAACTGGGCCGCCAAGGTGGTCGAGGAGCTGAAGGACTTCCTCCAGATCCTCGATGCCCACGGGAGAATCAAGCAGGTATCGCCGAGCATCACAGCACTCACCGGTTACAGCGCCGAGGATGTGCTCGAGCGATTCCTCAAGGACTTCATACACCCCGACGATAATGGAGTCTTCGTGTCCGAACTCAACGAATCAATAGCCACGGGGAACCCCTTGAGATTATTCTACAGATTAAAGAAGAAGGACGGCAATTATGCCATATTCGAATCTATAGGCCACGGCCACATCGCCGCTGCCAAGTTCGCGCCAAACCCCAACAACCAGTCTCCCTTTTGCCAAGCAGTCTTTATGATGTCTCGGCCTTACCCTACAAAGAACGCGAGCCTCCTCGACTCCTTCCTAGAACACAAGATCGAGAACGAGCGGCTAAAGCGGAGGATTGCCGAACTACGAAAGGAGGAAGCCGAAGATGCAGACGAAGCCCAACGAATGTGGCGCCAGAGTCAGGAAGCCAGGTCAGATATCACCATGTCAGAGGACGCAATGGGCGCATCAAACGGCGGTGGCAACTCATCCTATTCCCAATTCAACCCTGCAATGCCTCCACCCGAGAGGCCAGCTTCGATCAATGCGTCACTCACCCGGGAGAACCTCGAAGGCTCTATCGCCGGCGGCCGCACAGACACGATCCGCGACAAGATGGCCCGGTACGAGGGCTCTTCACATGCCGACACAATCGAGATGCTCACGGGCTTGCGGTATCAGGAAGGGGAACGGAGCAAGGGCATCACGACCGGAAACGCAAGCCCGACCCTCATCAAGGGAGATGCGGGGATTGCCATCCCCGTAGATCGGGATCCGCGCACCGGAGAGAAGAAGAAGAAGCTCAAGGTCGCGGAAGAATACGTATGCACAGACTGCGGTACGTTCCGAGGAACTACAATTTGCTTGAGCACCTTCCTAACAATCCTCCAGGTACGCTCGACTCGCCCGAATGGCGGAAAGGACCCAGTGGCCCAAAGACGCTCTGTAACGCGTGTGGTCTTCGCTGGGCTAAGAAAGAGAAGAAGAGGAACCAGAACAGCGTCAGTGGGACTGTTACCAACTAAGCGGGTGAGAGGCGAGTGGGACAAGAAGTGTAAGGTCTGCGATATGCGTGTTCAATTAGTGAGCTTCAAGGCTCCAAGGGATACCTGTACACGAGCAAGCGGTATTTGGATAAGGGGTGTTACTGATATTTTGAGATACCTGGGCAACGATAGGTTTCTGGAGCATTCAAGGCGCATATCATATACCGGTTTAGGGACGGGGCTTGTCTGTCCAACACGTATAGAACAACTCACAGTGAGAAATCTGATTCAGGTCTTTACAATGAGTCTCGAGCAGGTTGAATTGTGCACAAATAGCAGAGCCTAGCTCCCACCCAGCTTAGGTATGATGATTGCTTTTGAGTAAAACTATTCATCAGCCAGTCACTACCTGGCTCAACCGCCTACCCTCATGCCACCGAATGTGCACATGGATCTGGTTAATGCACCGAGACACAAACAGCTCCTGTCTCTAATTGGCTTCCAAAACAGCTGTGAACCCTGTAAATCAGCTCAGTGGTGATTCAATTGGTGGGGGCGCCTGGACCAAGCTGCTGCGGTCGATTCCAGGTCAGTTTCAGCTACCTTGCCAGCTTGCCCCGCACACGTCACTCCTGACTTCATGGTCCACCCTCCCTCAAACAGTCTCTCGCTCCCAGCTTGATGCGTTGGTCTTTTGGGCAAACAAACAACAACATATCCTCAACCTCACAATATCACAGAAGGCTTCAAAAAAGCAAAGCAGTACGAGCACGAAATTCTAGAGAACGCGTTGATACTAGACAGTCAACATGGACAAGATCCTTAACGCATTCACCAAGGACGATGACCGCGATGAGCGTCGCGGCGAGAGACAGGGTGAGTCCCCAACAAAATACAGGATGCAGCTTCAATGTCCCAGCTAAACATCATCGCAGAATATGGAAGTAAGGCTTCAGTTACCTTGGCAGTGATTTACTGTACCTTTCAAAGCTAATTCGAGTGTCTGGCTGTCAGATCAGCAGTACCCGGCGGGCGGCAATGGTACGTTAAGAGTTCCCCAGATCTCCCCCCACCTCTTGGCAGCCGTCCCCTAATATCGAGTTCGATAGTCACCCATGGCGGCAGCTACCCAGCCGGCGGCGGCTACAAATACGACGATGACGATGACCTGAGAGGTGCCGCCGAGACTGCGTCCCGCCATGCCGGCGACTCTGGCGATACCGACCTCTTCTCGGGCATTCTGGGTGCACTGGGACAGAAGAAGCAACGCCTCGCGGACGAGGACCTCGATGAGCAGCGTACGTGACTAGTCTCTTCTTAAGCCGATTCACATACATGTAAAGGTCAAACCCAGGCTAACAGGCCATCGCACAGAGGCCGTCAAGAGCCACAAGAAGTTCTTTGGCGATGGCGACGATGACGACGACGCCGACGACCGCAGCATGGGCTCTGCCGCTGCCATGCAGGCCCTGAAGATGTTCTCCGGCGGCCAGTCGGGCGGCAACCAGAGCCAGAGCGCCTTCATCGGGCTGGCCATGTCCGAAGCCAGCAAGCTGTTCGACCAGAAGTCTTCTCAGGGCAAGGTCGCGTCCGGCTCCAGCAAGGAATCGGCCATCATGCAGGCGGGTGAGATGGCTTTGAAGATGTATCTGAAGAGTGGAGGCAGTCAGTCCAGCGGTGGTGGTGTCGGTGGCTTGCTGAGCATGGCTTCCAAGTTCATGTAAGCTATGGAGGGTTATTCGGAACAATGAATTAGCCTTGTGTTACGCATGAGGAGTTGCTGTGCCGAAAACATTGCTTCGTTCGACATGTAACTTTTCTTACGACCCAAATGAAACATGAGATAGATGACATATGAAAAGTCGTGTGAAAACAGGTCGAAACTTGACATTCAGCATGTGAGATGTGCAACTCAGTGCCGGCTGTTGGCACGATTTGACCTCGGTTTTTGGTCTAGCGGTGTCAGCCCCTCATCTCAGCAACACTCTTCACTGTCTCACATGGTCCGCGTATCTTCGCAATCTGTACGACTAGGTAACAATCAACTACGACGTGTTTTTTTCTCCTTTAAGGAATTGTGCTTCCTTATTTGTAAATTTCAAAGTGTAGCATACGAGATGTCATTACCAAAGAGTTACAACACGTTGTCCCTACCAGATGTGAAGCTCTCACACCATCCCGCATCATCGCCCACGCCAACCCCTATCATCCTAGTCATACTAAACAGACCAAAGGCCAAAAATGCCTTCACAGGACCAATGGTCTCCTCGCTAGAGAAGGCGTTCAATCTCCTCTCCGCAGACCCGCGGGTTCGGTGCGTCATCCTCACCGGCTCCGACCCGCAAAACCGGACCTTCTGCGCCGGCATGGACCTGTCCCAGGGCTTTGGCACGGACGGCGACCCGGACGCGACCCGAGACCAGCACCGAGACGGCGGCGGTCGCGTGTCTCTGGCCATCTACAACTGCAACAAGCCCGTCATCGCCGCCATCAACGGGTCCGCCGTCGGCGTCGGCGTGACGATGACGCTGCCGGCCTCGATCCGCGTCGTGTCAAAGCAGGCCAAGATCGGGCTCGTCTTTGCGCGCCGCGGCATCGTCATGGAGGCGTGCAGCAGCTTCTTCCTGCCGCGGCTGATCGGGCTAAGCAAGGCGCTGCACCTCGTCACCGTCGGCGGCGTCTATCCAGCGGAGCACCCGCTGCTGCGAGACCTGTTCACCGAGGTCGTGGGGCCGGACCGGGTGCTGCCGCGGGCGCTGGAGCTGGCCGAGGAGGTGAGCGCGAATTGCAGCGCGGTCAGCACGGTCGTCATGAAGAACATGATGTACCGCGGCCCGGAGACGCCTGAGAAGACGCACTTGCTGGAGAGCAAGATCTTGTATGATATGTTTAGGGGCAAGGATTGCAAGGAGGGCACGGACAGCTTCATGGAAAAGCGGCCAGTGAACTTTAAGGGGTCTATGGAGGACGATGCACCCACAGTCTACCCATGGTGGATAGATGATTTGAGAACGAAAGGATCAAAATTGTAGTATATCAGATAAAGGGCGGGAAAATCAAATACAGTCTCGTTGAAGAAATGGATCTGAAGAAGTTTATTTACTCCGATTTAATGGGTGAGTACCGCGCCTTGGCACTGTTGTGAACTCCTTCCGATAAAGAAAGGCAGCAGTTGATTTAGGTCCCGCTGGCGTTATTTACCTACAGAATGATACCAGTTGTGAGTCAGGGATCGGTGCGGGGCCGGACTTGGAGCACGATGATAACAGATCCACACTTGAGAGACGGCTTTTATCTTCGGCGTCGGACCATCCGAACAAATGTTGAACGTTGTTTGACGGTTTTCTTCTTTGGCTTTCAGACGACAGATATCGAGTCTCCGACACCTCAACTCCTGCAACTCCACGCAATGTCTATCACAAGTACAAGCATAACCCATAGGATTTTATGGACTCGATCCATATCTAAACGTTTGGCTAGCTCTTCAACCATACGAGATCAAAGACGGAAGTTCCGAACCCATTCATCTGTGTCCAGATCGCTCACCTCCCTTCCACCCTCTCAAAACGGTCGTCACTCACAATCTACGGGGAAGGATGTTCCATCATGGAGAAACGTCATCATTTTCATGAGTGTACTTATTCTTGAATATAAATTCTACAAGGTTTAGTCCTTGTTGGTGACAGATCAGTGATTGATTCAGATTGTTAGATACTCGCAGTGCCTTGCATTGTCTACAATAGGCCTAGACCTATGCTCCTCGATTCTGGCGACAGTGTCCCTGCTGCCACTCCGGAAGTGATCCCGTATGAAGAGGTCCAGAAGCACACGTCCCCGGATGACTGCTGGGTGATTATTAAGGTACACAGCTTGCCATATATCGCATCTGATTCGTTCTCGGGCTAAATTTATATTCAGGGTCAAGTTTACGACCTCACAGGCTTCTTGAACAAGCATCCTGGAGGTCGAGACGCTATATTGAGGGAGTCCGGGAAGGATGCCAGGTAAAAATGGCTTCTACAGATGCATGTTCGTGCCAATCTCTAACAGAGTGAATCGTCATTAGCGCTTTGTTTTTTCTTCTACACTCGCCCGATTTGTTGAAAACCCTCCCTCCGGAAGCTTGTCTAGGTCCTATCGACCCGGCCACCTTGCCACCTCCGGTAACCACCTATACAGATGAGGAGCGACGGCAAGAGGCTGCTAGGAAGGAATTGCCGGACGTTGAAGATTTCCTCTTGCTTCAAGAATTCGAAGACTGGGCCGAGCGAGTGCTGAGTAGGAGGGCATGGGGCTACTATCGCAGCGCAGCAGACGAGGAGAGGAGTATGTGATTTTCCGGCAAATTGCCTTCATCAATAGCCCTCGAACCCAGAAACGTCTTGATGCCTACAACAAGCATGTTTTAACGTATCTTTAGGTTTTGACGAAAACAGAGACGCTTTTCGAAGATATTTCTTTCGCCCTCGGGTAGTGACCGGCGTGAAGGACGGTACAACCGAAACCACATTCCTAGGTAAACCAACTGCTCTGCCAATATACATTTCTCCGGCCGCAGCAGCGAGAATGGGCCATCCACTCGGAGAAGTGAATTTGACCAAAGCGGCTGGAGATTGCAACGTGGTACAAGGCGTGCGTGACCCTTCTTTATGTTTTTGATTTTGTGTCCCCCGTCAAATAAGCTCCAAAGAACACTTTTGAACTGACAAGGGCGTTAGATATCTACATATGCGAGCTGTAGCGTAGATGAGATTTTTGCTGCGAAGAATGACGAGCAGACTCTCATATACCAGGTACTGGCCTTTTGCTTGCGCTATACTGCTCATCCCTAACGGAAAAAAGCTCTATCTTAACATAGATCGATCGGTATCTGCAAATCTCATTCGAAAGGTCGATAAGCTGGGTGCTAAAGCTATAGTCTGGACCGTCGATGTTTCGGGTGACTCCAAGCGTACATTGGACACACGGACGCAAAGAAAATTGAACGTTCGCTCAGCTCCTAGCCAACCGGTCTCAGATGTAGAATCTACTTTGGCAAAGCCCGTACCAGAGCCTGTGTCAAAGCCGCTTGGCGCAACTCGGCCGCTTGGAGCGACCCGAGTAACTGGAGGTACGCATGAACGAAGCCTTGTTTGGGAAGACTTGGCTTTTATTCGAGTGAGTGTGTCTAAATGCTAGTATCTATGGCTGCTGATACCGGATAACAGAAACACACTCAACTTCCCATAATTGTCAAAGGTGTACAGTGTGTCGAGGATATTCAATTGTGTGTTGATCATGGTGTCCAGGGTGTTATAATAGTGAGTAACAAATTGTTCACTGAAAATAGCAGATTTGGATAAAACACTGACGAGGGTTCGTCTTTCAGTCCAATCATGGAGGCCGCCAGGCAGATTATGCGCCTGCTCCTATCGATATCTTGTATGAAACACGTGTTTTACGCCCAGAACTCTTCGACAAGATCGACGTCATGATTGATGGCGGCGTTCGCAGCGGCGCAGATGTTGTCAAAGCTATTGCTCTCGGTGCCAAAGCTGTCGGGATAGGCCGACCGTTTCTCTATGCCAACGGAACCCATGGCGAGGCAGGGGTAAGGAGGGTTCTTGAAAGTAGGTTGAGTAATCATCCCATAAGTACAAGCTGTTAATTAGGGCAGTAGTTCTGCATGATGAGATCCTCGGGACCATGGAAAATATTGGAGTTTCTAAGATAGAGGACTTGAAGCCAGAAATGGTTGGACCAGCCGGGCCGTGGGTAGGATGGAACCGCCCTCCTTATGTGAGCACGAGGTAGGCGGGTGACCAAAGGACTGTTGATTCAGCCGACAAATACATCACAGTCCCTATCGCAAATCTAGAGTGACGACCCTGCGATATTACTTTTCTATGCAAATTGACTATAAAGATAGAACCAGGAATAAATCTCCAGTAACGATAAATACAGGGCAATGACTTTTGCTTCAAAATTATTTCGATGGGCAGAGACTAGATTTTTATATCTATAGACCATGATAGTTACTCGATCCGGCAAGATTGTCGATCAATCACTTAGCAGAGCTGTCTTGAATGATTCTGGCTGCTTCCATCCATGTACATTGTAGTCATTTGCAATGCTGAGACATAATGCTCTTGCTTCTCAATTTTCTTGAGTTTACGAAACTACCGTATTCATCTTCCTCTCCGGGTAGTTTTTACAGTTGCTTATGTGTTATACTTGGCCATCGAACAAGGGCCTCTGAGAGTTGACTTCTCCAAGAGTTCGTATGCTTTTTGAGAAGATAAGCATTACTCAGCAACTGTCGTCTCTTCTTAATACATTGCTCCACGACAACCACCCCGTGACATCGTGTAATAGCTAGCCTAGCAGTATCTCACAATATCAAAATATCAGATCTTCTTCAAGCATGTCCATTAAGTGTTGATTGCCATGATACCACTCGCCGAGCTCATATGCTGGAACGTTGTCGAAACCTGAATCTCTATCAGCGTTTGTCGTGGTGCCTGTGTCGGCGTGAACAATACACGACTCGCCAGAGTGGCCTGAATAGTCAGGTATCAAAGTTGGGTCAGCTGGCAAACGGGAAGTATGTGCTTCAATGTAAAGGTGGGCAGCGTCGCAAAGGTTTTTATAGAGCCGGTATGGTTGTGCAGTCCACTCTGCAGGCATTGCTTCGGGCTGCAGCGATCCAGTGAACTGATCTAGACACTCTAGCGCATCAAAGTCTAAGAGACGAACAGCATAGGTGAAGAGAATACTAAATGGGACAAACGGCACATGTAAGATGCCCCTGATAAGTGGAGTTAGAGATGAGAACATCAGTGATAATTTGTGGTAATTAGTATTCACTCACCAGTTCAGATATTTGGTTACCATATATGCATCCCCTTTGCAATTCCGTAAGCTGTCCATGCATTGTTGGTGCAGTTCAAAGACATGACGAGCGACTGCAAGGCAATCCTCTGAAATGCCGCTCCTGGTGTCCCGTTCGGGCGGTGTGGCCCAGAGAACTTGAGTCAGCATTGAGGACTGGCATACGAGATCGCATTGTAGATAGATGGCTTGCAATGTATCCGGCTCGAAGTCGTCGAGCTGTCTGATGGCGTGCTGCAAGATATTTATAGGTTAGTTGCTGCGAAGATAATGCAGGCAAGAGACAAAATGGATACCGCGATTTCAACATGAGTCTCGTCAATTAGTTGTCGCAACTCATCAGCTAGCCTGCTTATGATACGAGCCCGTGCCTCGTCGCCTGCCTTGGACAGACCATCTGGGCTGAAAAGGTGATCATATATCTCTCCCTGAATCCTCCCCAGCTTGCTGGGTCGCGACAGGTCAAACGGTAATGTCACTTCAGTGTCCCGGATACTCGATGACCGGCCAAATCGAAGGGAGAGTCCTTTCTCAATTTTGTATACAACCCAAAATAGATTATCTTGGGCGCCTCGCAGGGACTGATCGGTCTCTCTTTGGGGGTGGCTGCGGTGAAACCCCAGTGTCAGGCAAATATTCGTTGCGGCCGAGATTAAATTCCAAGCCAAAGAACTTTTGGAATCCTGAATGGATTGGACCGCCTATAGCGCTAGTAATCAACATATGACTCATGCTCCTTCTTCTGCCAATGCATACGTACTGCAAGAGTCAACGCAGCGACAACTTTCATTGTCGGCGGCAGCAGAAGTGGCAACTGTGAAATTGCAAAGTCGATGTTTGTCCTACAAAGTAGAGAATGCTGTTCATATTCCTGACATCCTGTTATAGCATCATGCTCAGAGAACACGTAGGTCAAGTACCCGTTGGCTAGGATGAAATCTATCTCGTCAAAGTCTTCGTCGACAGCAAAGTACACCTTCTGGCAGATGTCGGTGAACGTTTCTAGAGGAAGTATCCGAGATATCCAAACCATCCTAGAGAAACTGGTGTGAGCTGCAGTACAGGTTAGATCTTTTTTGAATTTCTTTAGTCGATATTTGCAACGAAACCTTTTGCCCAACGAAGGACCGCCACAACAGCATCCAAAGGGGGCATAGAAGAACCGATTACAGGTCTCACAACTTGTGTTTTCGACATTTGCGGCTCTCCCGGCGCTGTAGGCTTTTCTAATGTCTGCAGTATGCCTTCCAAGGATGAAATAGCTGTTGTGTCTTCAGCCCCGACGTTCTTTGGTCGAAGTTCTCCCACAACAGCTCTGATAAAATCGATGATGTGTGATGAATGGGCCCCATGGTACGCACTATTGGGTGTATGTCTGGAGGTAGGTATATTTACCGTTTTTGCAGAGCTGGTTCGATTGGGGTGAGGAGTGGAACTTTCAGCTTCTGCCTGCTTTGTTTCTGCATGCAGGTTGAGCCTTTCCAAAATATGTTTGATATCGCCGATGTCTTTCGCAATGCCGTCGATTTTCTGTTCACTATAATTACCAAGCCAGGTATGAGCTCTCCAAAAATCTGAGAATGAAGTCAAAATTTCATAACTGAAGCTGACTCACTAATGTGCTGACACCAAGACCCGCTGCTTGGGGGTTGCTGTGTTGGACGCGACAGCGCTATGAGTGCAATTGACCCTGGCTGAAGTGCAATTCGAGCAGGGTGATCCTCTGTCACAACCTATCTATTACGGAAAGATCGATTCAGCGTTACTCTCCACTAATCTTCCGGCGCAAACTGTGATCCAAAGAATGCCTGACCTTTCGAGCACGACATTGGTCACACTGTTTCGCTGTCTGTTAGTGTTTTGGATTGTGAATGAATCGGGGGATTGGTGACGCGAGCTCACAGAGCGACGGGTGATGGCCGGTCGGTCTCGTGGCCGTTTCCCGGCATTATATCCGAGGTCCTCCATTGCCAACACTGTGTTTTGAGAGAAACCGTTGACTTGGCTACGTTGGTTGTTAGTGATGATGAAAGTCGGGATGATGGATTTCTTAACGGAATCGCGCGGCTTTCCGGAACCGGAAATTCCGGTGATTCTATTGGCTATGAAATTGTACGAGAAGCCACACACACCATCAGTTAAACTGATCCGATCGCCTTACAGAAAGAGAGATGAGGCTTGCGGCCACTCTCATGGTATCTTGGGGAACTCCAATTGTTGAACGGATACGCGCGGATTTCCGAAAGACACTAATTGATGGCTACTCTAACAATCATGAACCATGACTATAAGTAGTCAAACGTCCCCCTGGAAAGTTACTGGCATCATGAAAAGGTCATCGACCTGTTCACTTAAACCAGATACACGTAGAGTTTAATCCTGTTAATTATCGAAAAATATGGTTCAGAACATCCTCATCACTGGTGGTGCCGGCTACATGTACGGCAAAACGGACACGCCCTCATTGTTGTTCAGGAAGCTGACAATGTTCATAGCGGAGGCTCCCTTATTGCGGACATCTTGTCCCGAACGAGCGGGCCGATCAAGGGAGTGACCATAAGCACAGCAGTTCGATCAGAAGAGCAGGTCCGAAATCTATCCAAGCTGGGCATCACTGTCCTCCAACTCGATCTCGCAGATGAGGCAGCGGTGTTGAAAGCTGTCCTCGATAGTGAGAGTGCGTTTCTAACAATGTGCAATCCTATACCATACCAGTACTGATAGTTTATTCTATTCTAGTTGATATCGTGGTCCATACAGCAAGCTCAATGGTGCCAAAAATCGCGTTACATCTCATCAGATCCCTTGGCCGGCGTCGCAAAGCTACCGGAAACGAAACGTATTTCATTCACGTCAGTCGCTCTTTCCCTCTCTTTCTATTTCCCTATCACTCGATTCGGAAGATTGTCCCTCTTACACCTCGATATCAGTCATCGGTGCTAAATCTCTTCTCGATTGAAAACATGTGGCCGTACGGAGAGGTTCGGGATACGGACTCAGTATTCGAGAAGGAGAAGCAGCTAGGCGAGACTAGCTCTGTTCGCGCGGTAAGTTGCTGGTTCATTCATAGAAGACCCAAGTCTATTAAATTTCAGGACTATATTCTGACTTCTCAAGAGACCAACATCCTAGTCGTCGAAGAAGCCAAATCACAGGGCGTAACGGCATTCAATGTTCCCGTGCCCACTATCTGTGAGTTAACCTCAGTACTTGGATTCCCATTCCTGGAGATTATCTCCCTTTGGCTAAGACTGGAATACTTTACCAGATGGGAGGGGTACAGGAGTAGAGAAGAAGCTGTCCGCGAGCATTCCGGCATACATCAGGACTAGCATTAAGAACAAGACCGTTCACAAATTCGAGAAAGACTCTGTAAGCACGCTGTCAAAACATAGTCGGAAGCCCATGACGACCTTTTGCTCCCGTTTGGTCGTCGTTACTAACACTTTGGAAAGCGCCCACCTGCGGCCCATATTTCCGACATGACAGACTTCTATGTCCGGCTCGTCGACAAAATCCTGCGGAAGGAGTCGATCCCAAGCGGCGAGAACGGGTATTATTTCGTCATGGCTCACAGAATCCCTTGGTGGACCGTCATGCAGCGCATCGCCGACGGACTACATGCTCGAGGGCTAGTGGAGGATCCACGAGTCCAAGTCTGGTCCAGCTACGAGACAGCTGCAGAGCAACTCGGTTTTCCACCTCAACACGTGAAGGCCATGGGGACTTGCGAGTAAGTTTGCCTTGGCACATATAGCCTAGGTGAAGCTAACAAGTTGCTATAAGCGTGCATGTTATTCCGGTGAATGCATTCCGACTTGGATGGCAGCCTCAGTGGGACGAAAAGCGATTTTTGGGAAGCATAGATGACGAAATTCAGGCTGTGCAGGAACTGGACACATTTAAACCTACAATATTTGACGCTATCATGCCTTCTAAGAATTGAATCGGTAGTCTGAGTCTTCATTTTGACAGAAAACTCAGACGATCATCATTCTCTTCTATTTCCAGTTGGTGAGAATTGTGGAACTAGAGGCAGACTCATCAGGGAGCGAGAAACAGGCATGATAAAGCAGACAATCAGGAAACAAAACGGATTTATTCTTCATAAGCTACTGGATCAGGGTAAAATTGATGAATCTCGTGAAGATACCCTACTGCCCATGGCTTGTCTAGAAGCAAAGGTTCTCTCGGAATAAATCCATCCAGCACAATTTAAATTCCTATTTCACTTGCATTAACCCTCTCACTTAGTCATGTTTAACGATACTGCATGAGCAATTATTGGGTTCCGTGGTGGCATGTCTCGGAGGGTTTCTTCGGAGGGTTTGATTTTGGAATGATGGGTGACTAATGAGACAGCAAACATCGGAGGGTTTGACTTGACTTTCCGGATAGCTCAGTGACGGATTCCCATTTTATCTACAAAGCCATCAGTTCCCAGGAAGTGGAAAGGCACCTAATCCTTCGACAGGCAATGCAATCCTTCCGCCATCATCACTAAACCTCTCTTGCTTGAACATGACCTCGAATGCTGCACCCATTCCACCCGTAGGGCGAGCTTGGGTACGCCGATCACGTGGACACTACGCTTCATCCCTTCATCTAGTAGATACACTCCCATCCCCAGAGACTCCCGGGCGGGACTCAGCCGACGTTGTGATCCGTGTGTCACATGTTGCTCTCGAATTCGCCATTGCCACAGTATTGGCAATTTTCCCGGCACTACCCTTTGCTCCGCCAATGGTGCCAGAACTCGAGTATTCAGGTATAATTATTGCCGCCGGAGGCCGAGCACCGAAGAGCTTACAAACCCCCGGAACACGTGTGTTGGGATCCGTAACGCCCGTTGATATGTTGCTTCGAGGCGCTGGAGTTCTCAGAGAGTATATACGAGTACCGCCAACGCTGGTCGCGCCACTCCCAGATATGGGCGCCGAAGATTGGACATTGAGCATGTCAGAGGCGGCAGGGCTCGTTGGAAGCGGCTCAACGGCCCTGGCTATGGTAAACGCTGCAGACGTTCAGACCGGGCAGCGTGTACTCGTCAATGGCGCCAGCGGCAGCGTCGGTCACATGGTCGTGCAGTTATGCCACATTAGAGGTGCCTTTGTTGTAGGTGTCGCTAGTGGGCGAAATGAAGAGTTAGTGAGGAAATGCGGAGCATCAGAGGCAAGTTATGAATACCGCCATATCACTCATTTTCAAATTGAGATTCTTCATATCATGTATACTAATTACAATAGTTTGTCGACTATACTCAACAACCACTCCCTGAATATCTCTCCTTGACCTATACCTCTCGGCCTTTTGATTATATTCTTGATTGTGTGGGATCCCAGGAGCTCTACGAAAATTCCTCAAACTATCTCAAGCCTGCCGGTGCTCTAGTAAATGTAGGGGCAATGGCAAGCGGCATATTATTGCAATTAGTTCACTGGATAATGAACACATGGCGCCCGACCTGGCTGGGAGGTACACCCCGAAGGTTCATCATGTTCAGCACACCAGTAACAAAGGATTATTTCGATACGTTGTTTCCACTGTTCCAATCAGGGAAATTAAAGATCTCTCTCGATTCCGAGTGGTCCATGGAAGACGCCATCAAAGCCTACGACCGAATGAGCACGAAGAGAGCAAGAGGTAAGGTCGTTATCAAAGTCACTGACTGCTAAGACACGGCCTGCCTGTCTCTGGACTTACCGATATCGTGCTAAGTAAATCAAGTCCCTTTGCATTAACCAGCGCGAAGAAAAAAGGTGTTCGGAGTCTAGCTTTGAACGCTCCTGGAATGATTAAATTGCGAGGTAATAGAATGAGGCAGCCGCACCATGTGCTAGTTTGATCTTGGTTCTAATGCCCCTTACTGTCCTCTCAGCTTCACAGACGACCTACCGCCTTGATGCCGTCGTACAAATCTCACTGTATTTCTTGTGTGATGGCGTCAGCAGACAATAAAGCAAATAGATCTTAGCAAATCTTTCACCATTCGCACGAATCGTTGCTAGCTGACGTCTCTTAATGTTTTTACTCTGATAAGAGAAGATGAGGATCTATTGCAACTATAAGAGTAAAAAGTAAAGCCAACAGTCTTATACACGAGAAGAAGCAAGTTGTGAGTCGCTTGCTGGTCGTATCTGGACATATCTGCCGTGACTAGTGGTTTTACGACGTTCAAATTTCTGACGAGCCCAGTTGAGTCTGCCGTCTTGTTAGCCATCTGTTCAAATCGGATTTCTGCAAAACCCTTTCTATCAGGAAAGGTGCTTGATGGGCCAAACTAACAATTTATGGGCTGCGTGGTGTTGCTTGTGATGGAAATCGGTCAACCAGCCCCCACTCTTCGGCATGCTCTCGTTAGCGAATGCAAATGCCTCTTTCAATTCAGAACATAGGTTATCGTCCCAGTCGATTGATGTCCATTGATTCTGGTATGTGGGCCTGGGCCCGCTCATTTGGCTCAAGACCTCTGGCAAAATCTCGTGAAGGATACTTATACTCTGCGTATCCGTCATCTCAAAAGCATCCCTTACGTCGCAGTAATATCTTAGGTATGCACGGTTGCGCGGCTGATGAGTCTGAGCTACTGCCGTGGCTATTCGCTCCTGAAACAACTCCTGAAGTCCAAACTGCAAGGCTTGACGATAGGCGTAGTCCACGCCCCTAGTGTAGTCAGGCTTTATCTTTGCTTGAGTACGTTCATCCAATATGCCCATCAGTCCATAAAGTCTATCTCTCTTGTCTTTGCAGTTGAAATTGCCGAACTTCCGTATAGCGTCGTAAAGGCGATCTGGAATCTGAGATTGATATGACTCTACTGCCAAATACGGCTTCCGAAGCATCTGAGTCATCTCTCCTATCGTACCAACATTGACTCCTTGTGCTATAGGGTCGTAAATAGGGCGCAGTACTTGCCGTGTGCGATGGGTGATGACAACCTGAGCTGGGCTGTGAAGACGTGCGACGTCGTTTGGAACAGTTGTTGGCCTCCCGTGGATATCTATGCCGGTGCCCCATGTGGAGCAGCTTGATGTAGCAGTAAACAAGGACAGAGGAAAAGTGAAAGGCCCACACCATATAGTCATACTTGATGCGAGTAGAACCTCTTGAACAATCCAGAGACGTCTCCAATATGGTTGATAACTCAGGTATGTGAAGCCTGCCCACTCAGAGGCAGACCATGATGCTGCGGACTTGGAGGTGGTCCCAGCAAGTGCCCTGATGTTTTCGAGATGGCCCTGCTCGGGCATGCCTAGCCAACCGATAACTCGAGCAGCATTACGGAAGATTCTAGCCATTGCTGGAATTTGATCTTGGTTCTCGGTTTCGGACAGCTGGTCAACGCAAATAGCATCGATGAAGAATAGCCCATTGATGCGTCGATCACTTGCCGTGACTAGAAAGTCGTGTAGATTCTGGCGGATGAAGTATTCTTGCCCATCGATCTCCACGGCATGTAAGGTATTTATCGTAGGCACATCACCCCAGGTGTAGGAAAGTGCGTTGTAGGTCGTCGTCGCGAGCTGTTGCAAACTTATGACCTCGAGAGTATATGTTGCTTGATGTTCCCAGTCCGCTTGTGATATATGCAACAAACGGACCTCGGAATGAGCATCAATACTCGTATGGCGAAACCCATTTTTGCGATTCAGGACTTTATCTAGATCTTCATTGAGCTCATGTATCAAACTATCAGGACTTGAGAAGCAAGACTCCATATCGTCTTGAGAGCATGGTGATGTATTTCGCTTTAGAACTAGGTAAATGCAACAACAAATACTTGTTCTTTATCAACATATGACTTCTCGATGTAAAATTGTAGGCTTCTCTTCCCACGGTAAGGCATCATTTGCCCGGTCTGTAAGCGTTGAGGCGGTGCATCATGTGTTCTCCACTCCGCCTCCAACGGGCTCTCCGGGCCCAATCTATATCATTATCGTTTCTCATTGGGTCTTTGAACTGGCAGATGCACCTACCGCATTTGGCCAAATTAACTAGGCATATTGTATGTTGGATTATCTGCCTATAGATTCATTCGAGCATCCTTCTACATATATCAGTGGTGTATAGTTATCTGATATCTGACCTCGCTTATAACATCTAACAGCAGATATTAAGATCAACTTTCCCCCAACTCAATGCTCTACCTCACCAGAACCAGAATATTTGCCGTACCTATCTAAGTATGATGCGAAAAGCTGACTCTAATTTTAAATCCTCACCAAGCCTTTCACAGAGACAGGATGTGCCTCCGGCCGGATCAGAACTCTAGCAGTCCAAGCAGCCTCGACAATTACATCCGAGGCGTGGCATAAGCATCTTCCAGTGTCAAGAGTACTTGCACAACAATTGCAAACCCCTACACATCTCCGTCCTCAGCAGAGTAGCGGAATCTAGAACTAGGCCTTCTGACTTCGCGACGACAACGTTCGCAGCGATGAAGGCCACAGGACTCGCACGCTTATGAAGTAATGATAAGCTCCCGTAAAATAGCATCATTTATGCCTCTGGCATCTTTGAAACACTGACTTATCATCCTTCGACAGAATGCGATGAGAAATCCGCCCTTAGAAGACCCTGTCTAGTAGTGACTTCTTGAAGAGTAGTTTGCATCCTATACAGCTCTTAGTCCATTCGATACCGAGAAGAAGTCGGCCCGAGTTTCGAAAGCGCCAGAAGATAGAGCATTGTCGTGTTAAGGAAGCCGTGCTTGATCACGATAAGGTATTTTCAAGACAATTGTAATATTTCGATCCGGAGATTCTTAACAGCTGTTATAAAACCCTTTTCGCCTTCGGTAGTAGTTGGTGCAAGCCTAGTCCTTGTATTGTGGCCTGTGGCCTGACTGTGAGCTAGTGTAGTGAAATAGGGCGGTAGTGCCTACTGCTGACCAACACCCACTCAAGATATCACATAGCACACACACAAAAGGAAGCCTCCAGGGCAAAAAGAACGTATTAGAATGAAGGGGTAGCCATTCTTGTATTCCGTTTAATGATAGCTAAGTGAAGCGAGTAAAAATGAAGTAAGTAATAGCAAATAAG